CACGTAAATATCCTTGATCAAATACACAACGAATATTTGGTACACATGAATGATTCATTAATGCACAAGTTGGAAATATAGCTGAAGCAAAACGTTTTGTTATTTCATCATGATCATCATCATTATCAAATATAATATCATCATTTTGATTTGTTTTTGTTATTGATATTGTTTGCGCATTACATATCATTTGTTGTATATGTTTAAGTAATATAGATGCAAGTAAAATTTGTTCTGTATCACGTTTTTTTATTTGATTACATCGTAAAAAATTTGTTGACTTTATTATTTCTGAAAGTAGATATGCAGTTAATGAATAATGAAATAAATCATCAATTGACATTTGTTCTGTATGTGTTATTAATTTTTGTATTGATGCATAATCTGATTTATATATATTATTATTATTATTGTTATTATTATTATTATTAATATTATTATTTTGTTCTTCATTATCATTCGGAATTGTTGTTTGAGTTATTGTTGTCCATAATGTTTCATGATCAGTTATTGTTAATGTACGATAAGCTTAAATAATTGAATATTTATTGATAAAAAAACAAAATATGTAAACAACAAAAAAGAAAATTAACTTCTTACCAAGAAAAGCTATGCCTAATGTTTTAAGTATATGAATATGTTTACATTCATATTGATGATAACTAGCAAGTGCACGTTGTTGACAATGTTCACTACAGAATAGAACGTGAGAACATTGAGGACAGACATACGGTATGACAATAGCCGTTAAACTAAAAAGAAAATATGAAATTGAATTTTGTTTTTTTTACTAAAAGATCTCTTTAATCTTGACTTTGATCTTTGAAAAAATATTATCACTGAAAGTTTATGAAAATAAAATCTACGTTTTAAATCTAGAGTACGCTTAACAATCTTTATAAGATTTCCATCGAAAAGTTAAAAATAGGAAAGATGAAAGCGAATCTTTTGATGCCATTTAGATAAAAGATAATTAGTGCATCTTATTTTCAATTCATAGTTTCTATTGTATAAAGCTGGTATGGCTCAGAAAAAAATTTGCAACTTATATCAAAAGACGGGTACTTATAAAAAACATACCAGCATTTGTTTGTATTTCATTTGCTCAAGACGAAGAAAACTTCCGGACAGCTTTTTATTTATCCAACTCAAATTTTTCGTATAGTACTTCTTCAGTTGTAGCAAATGAGTACTAATTTTAGTCATTAGCAATGTAGGGTCAATCATTTAGTAATAAAAAAAATTGAATATTTCTTCAAGAATGTTTTTTAAGTCTGTTTCACTAAGAAAATATATTACTATTAACGGCAGAAGGTGATAAACAAGTTTTGATGGTTTTTATAAGAATTTCGATACATCGTAAAAAATCTATCGATCTGATGAAACGAGAAACAAATGTTTGAACCAACCCTAATCTCGTGACTCTGCTGACTATGGATGTAAACTAATATGAATTGCAAAAAGTTTTTGTTGTCAACAGTAAAATTTTAGATTGATATCTATTTTGAGTGAATAGTATGAAAAACAATCGATCCAATTCATTTAAATCTTTGCTTTTATTTTATTAACATACATTAGTTATGTAATGAGACAGAAGTGTCGCTTAAAAAAGATCAAGATTTTTTTTTTGCCTATAAGACTTTAAATTACAGATATACACAGATTGGTTTCATCTAGTTGTCCAGAAAATCGAATAGACCGAAAAATATACAAGTTTCACTAAAAAAATTAACGATTATAAGCACAATTAGATAAAATCAAGTTGAACACTTCGTAAGTTTGTCATAGATAAAAACTTGCGCCATATTCAGCTACATCTCTATCTCAGTATAAATTTTGCATCAACTACTGATATAAATCAATATTCTAAGTATGTTTAGAAGTTGATATTTAAATAAATTTAATAGCTCAATTTTTCGTGTTATCTACTTTCGAGTTATAATCTATCATGATTATATATGTCTGGCATATGTATATCATTTTGCAATATATTTCATTTATGAATCAATTATGCGAATACTTTTATCTTGTTGAAGAAACTGTTTATACGTGACGTTAAGATTTTTACATAATATTTACTATTAATATCTTTAGTCTACATTAGATGTGAATAGTTTTAACATAAATTGTTGATTAACAAATTTTCTTTTTTAATCAAACGTATAGTTATTAACTCGATTGTATGTCAGAGCAATGTCATTACATATTGGCAATGTTACAACTTCAAAGTACTCTCTTCGTAGACTTTGTCTAATCAAAATTTTTCATAATAAAAATTGAACAATAGATGAAAAACTTTCTATCATATAGAAGAATTCACTAACCAGTGATCACAGTAAGTATAAGCAAATTTCGGTAATAATAAGCAAGCATATGGACGTTCATTAAGTATCAATGCATCCGATGGAATATCTTGATTAGCAACAATATGTCGACCTTTATCTTTTGAATAAGAAACACGTACAGTTGAACTAGCACAAGGTATATATTTATTAGGTCCATTTAATAATAATTTTGATTCATCAATAAGAATCATACTACGAGGTGGTGATGGAGGTGATGGTGGACAAAATTCATCAGTAGTTTTTTCTTCAGTTGATTTTAATAAACAAGTAGCTATTGTTTCAGTTGGTGTTGGTGAATTTTGAACAAGATCATCAAGATTTTTATATGATGTTGTTGGTTGTTGTTGTTGTTGTTGTTGTTGTTCTTCTTCTTCTTTTCGTTTATTTAAAATTGCAATTTGTCGACTTAATTGATCCATTTCTTTACAAAATGAATCAATTTTTTTTCTATCAAGACCAGCAGTTTTTTTAATCAGATCACGACATATTTTAAGTTCATATGCACTACGTTCAGGATCATTTAATTTATGATAACATGCTGCTCGACGAAATACTAATCTAAAGTTTAAATAAAAAAAAAACACAATTAAAACTTAATGAAAAAAAAAAGAACAACGAAACAATGAAATCATTTAAACTTACTTAAATTTAAGTTCATTTGGATAAAAATCATTAGCTAATTGTATAGCACGTATTGATTCATGATAATGATTTAATTCAAAAAGAACAGCTGATAAATTTCCATATGATAATGCCATATCTTGACTATTTATTGTTGATAATGCAATACTTGCACGATAACACCATGCTGCACGTGATAAATCTTTTTCAACAAAATAATCATTACCTTTTTTACGAAAATTTATTGCTGTTGTTGCATTTTTTGTTAAACATGATGATGATGTTGATGATAAATAACGTTCAAATGTATTTGATAAAAGATTTGTACGATGATTATGTATAAAACGAATACGATCAAGATCAGATTTTAGATGACTAAATTCTGTATAAAGACCTTTTTGTATTGCAAGATCAAGAGTATTCGATGCTGTATCAAGCCAATCCATATCAGAAAATGGGAATTCCATTAAGAGTTTTCAAAATATATGAAAATAAATATCTAAAATTTAAAAAAAAAAACATCGATATATATATAAAATGTGTTTGATCTAGAAATTTTTTTGGTGATTAAAATTGAACTTTACAAAAAAAAAAAATCTAAGTTTTGTTTCATATCATACATTCAATTAAGTGTTCATTTTATGGAGAATTTTTAATTTAATCATTTCTAAGAAATACTCAATAAACAATAATAATATATTAAAAGTAGATCTTTTATTACTTATTTTCAAACTAATGATGAATACAATTCATCTTCTATTTTCAATAAAAGAATAAATTACAAGAAAAATATGTTAAATTAAAATTTATGCTTCAAAAGATTAAATTCATTTTCGAGCTTTTTAAGATGAATTAGTCTTATAATCTACAAAAGGTATCAGTCAAAATGTGAAACATGATTTTGTTGCTGTTGCTAATTTACAATCCTGCGCAACATTTTCTGTACAGAACAAATGGTAGTCGACACTGTCCCGTGGGTCTCTATGGTAATCATAGAGACATAGTTTTATTCTGTCTATTTCGAGACATATTTCTTCACCATCATTTTATTTCATACTCGAAAAACGCAATAAGGAAGAAGTTCATATATTATAACGAGACGTTATTAATATACGTTCTGTAACAAAGCGAAGGGGGCAAAATATGACTAAGGTGTCTGTTACGGTTTGTGATCAAGGAGATACTTTTGTCAAGGATGTCTGACACGTTTATATGTGGAGTCGAAATTGCTATTTTATATACTTTAACATTCATTTTAGATCACATTTAACAAGTTTTTATCAAGAATAATTTTGTCTACTCAAACAACCAACTATGTATATTCCGAAATAAATTATCAATTATTTCATATTGATCATAATCTCTTCTCTTCTTATTACTTTTTCTTATTCAAAAAAGCATTTTAACGATGCATTCAACTCATTAATAAAAACTTCCATATCATAGATCTGCAAGTAAGATTCGTGTCACCTCACGTTCTAGCATACGCTAATGCAAATATTGAGCAAGCTTATGCGAAACGCGTGCTATACAATCCAATGGTTTAGGAGGTTCTGGGAGAACACGAACGAAACGAATTAGCCATGGTCAAATGCGTTCAAAGAGCAAATTTCGAAAGAGACGTACGACGTGCGTAAGCATGAGCTATAGCACGAGGCTGACTCGCGAATCTCTGTACCATAATATTCAAAACAAAATTGTTCCAATAAATAAAATCATCACGTTAAAAACTAAAGACATCTAAAATATTATTTTTTTTTTATTATCTATTTCTTCGCAATCATGGTAAAATGTATATATAAATATTAAAAGGACAAAATCATACATATATAAGGGATGACTTAGACACGCAGCAAAAAAAAAACAAATTCTCCACAACAAAAGAAAAAAAATGATATGTGATTAGTCGTTATATATTTGACTATCACTACCTGAGAATATAATTCAAACTAAATAATTCCACACGCACACACTGTTTGATTGCATTGCACACACAAACATTAGAATAGAAAAAGAAAATGCATAATTGCTCAATTAAGATACAACTGACGTATCGATTTGCTGATAATAAGATGGTGAACCATTTGATTGTGGTTCAGTTATAACAGAAACAAGATCACCAACAGCACGATTTATATCATCAGCCATATGAAATAGATTATCAATTGTTATTAAATCTAATAATTAAAAACAAAATTGTTTTGTTTTGTTGTTTATCAAAAAAATTTTAAAATTACTTGGTTGTCGTTCAAGATTTCTTTCCACTGAACGTCTTAAACCTAATGTTGAACTATGTAATGGACTTGACATTGTTGTTGAACGATGTTCAGTCATACTTGCATTACTTGTATGATGATGTATTGAAGGTGACTAAATATATTCGATAAATATATATGTTTTTTTATAAACTTATTTTCTTACTTCTCGAAATAATAATTGTTTGGATTTTCTTAATTGTTTTTCAAGTTGTTTATTATGTTCTTCAAGTATTTTCATACGTTGTTCTAATTTTGTTTTATGATGACGTAATTGTTTAGCTTCACGTAACATTTCACGATCACTTGAATTATAATCATTTATAAATGATAATGAACCTAATTGACTATCACTTTGATGAAATTGTTGTTGTCGATCATTTATAATTAAAGATTTTTCCATGTGTTGTTGACATAAACGTTCATATTCATTTTGTAATAAACGATTTTCATCTTCAAGATCACGAATTATAGCTTCTAATTCATTACGTTGTTCATTATCAAGTGAACGAGATCGTGTTAATATATCATGTGCAGCAACACGAGGCTAAAATATAAAAATGTTTATGAATTTTTACAAAAACTACCATAAACTTGAAGATATTCAATGAAAAAAAAAATATTGCTTCATTTCGGATACATTATTGATGTAAATGAATTAAAGCATAATAAAAGGGCATTAGAATCTATCATAGAATGAGATAAACGCGCCTTACACCAATGTTAGGCTATTTTTGGGGTGAATTCCATTCGAGTAACATTAGTAAAAATCGTTCAGAAAGTTTTGAAATTGTTTTGCCACTGGTTTACATCATGAATTCGTTTGAGTTATGGTAAATATGATTCAGCATGAACACTGATATATATCTCGATTATTCAAAGAGTTTTCAGCGTCGATTCCCTCAGATAACTGTATAATAATAAAACACCTGAGATAACGAAAAACGATTTTTTTCTCTTGAATTGAACTTACGAGGGAACTAGTCCAACCTTAATCTGTCGATTTGTGAACTCGTATGGACCTACATGGGAGGTACCAGTAAGACTAGAAATAGCTTCAAAGGATTACTGCCCATAAGCATCTGGAGTTGAGTCATGATCGTTTTATTAAATTTTTGATAAGCAATCTTGTTCATAGATCGATCTAATGACCCTTGGAGTATTCTGAAAACTTCACCGAAAAACACCGTCCTTTCGTTGAGATATTAAATTTGCAACAAATAGTTACTTGTCGCACAAGTCGAGTTTAGTTGACAAAAGAACATTTTTTTTCGACTGCAACTTTCAAGATATTCCAAGGATTATTACATTCATTTACGAACAAAATTTTAGATCAAAATTTCAGTAAACTTCAGAGATCCATAGATACGAACCCTTGTAGGCCGTTTCTAATCTTACTAAAAATAAATTTCTATTCATATCAAATATGAATAAGCTTTGATATATACATACCGAAGCATGTGCAAAACTATTCAAATTTCGACAATGTTGAGCAATTATACCATGTTCATCACTTCTAAATATAATAACAAAATTAAAATACTATGTACAAAATGCTTTTTTTTCATACGATTCAATAGTTGAAGATGTCGGTTGTATAATTCCAATGTCAGGTCTAAGACAGAAAAACAAAACAAAAACTGTTGTCACAAATCCCGGTAAGATTAAAATATATTGCTAATCACAAGAAAATTATTCTATTCTATCTATTTTAGAGTGTATTTTCTCATCAGTCCTCTACTTAATTCTCGAGAAATGCAATAACGAAATAGGTCATTTATTATAACGAGACATTATTGATATACAACCTTTGATTCTATATCAATATGATTTGTCACGATCTGTCATTGTATATTAACCGTGTCTGTTACAGTTTGTGACAATTCAATGGTTACGTTTGTCACGGTCTGCGTGCGAGTAATTATAAATTTCTATTCTATTCACTTCAACTCCGCTTTTCGATAAACGTTTAATAAAATAGTTTCTATTGAACAAACAAAAATTAACTAATTTTAATTTAAGCTATTTACTTGAATGGTGTTGTTAAAACTGGAATTAACACAGGAGAAGATATTGGTTGAGATGTCGTTGGAATATTATTGTCAAAAACATGTGGTAATGGTAAATATCCAAGTTTCGGATGTTTTCGATGTTTAGTCCATAATTTATTTTTAAATATACGAAAAAAATCTCGAATATCTTCAGATGATGTTGTCTATTACAAAAAAAAATAAAATAAACTTAATTAAAATAAAATATTTGTTTTTAATAACTACAAACTTCAGTATAATATTCTTGTAATGGATCATCCATTTTAAAAAATTTCGTTTGTTTACCAGAAAAGAAACAATTTTGACATATGTCACAATTAAAATGTTTTAATGAACGATAACGAAAACCAAGTATTGGATATATTTTACATATACTACAACGTGCTTCATGTTTAGCTGCTTCACTTGCTGCTAAACGATGCATTACAGGTAACCAAACAAGTGATTGAGGTTCTAATTTAATCCATTCAAGAAAATCATTCGCTGTTAATACATTCGGATTATGTGCCTATATAATTGGTTTTTTTTTTAAATCATTAATTTAGATTTTGAAATAAAAAAGTAAAAGATTCTTACATAATCAAAACAACTTTGTACGCTTGGCTCGACACTTGATCCACCAAATGCAGCAATTTCACCGAGTTGTTTTGGGATCTATTTAAAAGAAATCGAATTATTAATATCAGACGAAAGTTTTACTTTTGTCTAATGAATTTCGAGTCAATTAAGTTTCTTAGACAATGTTTGAATAATAGGATAAGAACTTTTTATTACTATTATTATTTGAAGATAACTCAAAAAGTAATTCGTTTATGAAAAAAAAAAACATGTTAATAATGTCTTTCTCGATTAATGCTAGAAAGAATATGTGTAGTAAAATGTATCATATTTCAAAAAGTAGCGATATATGAATATTCAATTTTTTTAAACAAATCTTAATGTAGATTAACCAAAAATGAAATCGACAATATTTCATAGTGCAATCTCGAATAAACCTTATCGACAATCTTTGATGCTCTTCCTGTTCTCTCTCTCGTTTATATAGAAATATTGATTAAAATCTATAGAGAGCATGTATATTCTGCTGCTATTCTATTGGTTTGTTTTTCTAAAACTAATTTCCTCAATTCATTAAAAAAAAAATAATAAATACATACAACGATTGCTTGTTGAAACAAAATTGACAAACGTTGTCGATCAACAACATCACGAACATCATTATCTGTCGATGAGCAAGCCACTAATGAAAATACATCTAATAAAAAATATAAAAACCATATGTATAGATAAATAAAAATGATTTCTGTATAGAACTTACATCGATATTTTTCTTCAATATTTCCTCTGCAAAGTAAAGCTAATGCCATTTTCATTGCTAATAAACGAATTGAACCAGTTCGATTTCTAAAAAATCAAATATTTGATTTAAGATACAATCTCATCTAAGATTATACAAACAGTTTTGTTTTTTCTTACTGCTGTAAGCAATAATAAGAATCGAAATAATAGTTTCAGTAGAGAATTTTCGAAGAAGACAATTTGAGAATTCTTGTTAAAAAATAAAATTCTCTACTTAAATTATTATTTAGATTCTTATTAACATTTTGGAAAAAAAAGATTGAAAATACACATATTTGAAAAAGCTTAGGAATTTATTACAAAAACGAAATTAATTTTTTTTTTTTGTTCTTACATATCATAAATATTTAATAACCAATTAAGTGCTAAATCAACAGTAACTGTAACATTAATTAATTGTGGATATTCATTTGATGTTTTTTCAAATATTGATTGTAAATAATAAAGAATTTCTGTTATATCGACATATTTATCAATATCTTTATTTGGTGACTCAATTGTTTGATGTTCTTCAAAAACACTTATTATATCACTAAGTGATGTTAAATCAACTAAAACAACAAACAAAAAGACTAAGATAAAAATATTAAATGAAAAAACAAAAAACCATACGGCAAAGACGTTTTTGTAATGTACGAAGTTTCATTGCTGTACGATAAGCAGAAAAACGAATATCATTAAAATTTGAAAATGAACGCATTAATTCAATCCTTAAGAAAATCATATAGAAATATTTATTTATTTGAAAAACAACAAAAAAGAAATAGATTATTAATTTACATTTTTGGATGATCCCAAGATGTACATTGATCGGAATGGCTAAATAAAACAAACGAATGAGATTAATAAAAAAAAAAAATAAAATAAAATTTTGTTACTTGATAAAATAAGGTACTTTATTAAAAGCTACAGCCCGTTGCCAAGGATATTCAACTGATTTCGAATAAATATCACTCTCAGAAATTTTTATTGAATCTTGTAATAATTGTACACGCTGTGATACTGATTGTATTGAATGTTCCCATCTAATTAGATTTAAAACAAATAGAAAAATAATTTTTTTTCTTTTTCTTTTATTTTTTTAAACCTTTGATTGAGTTCTTGTACACGATTTATTGTATGTATATCATAGTCATTTTCAATTGTTTGTGCTAATTGTTGAATATCATCAATAGATGTTTTACATGACATCAGAGTTGACAAAAGATGCTAAGAAAAATTACAATTATCAAAATTTTTATTTACTCAAAAAAATCGAAAAGAATACAGAAAAACATAAAAATTTTATTCAAATCTTTCTTTGGTTGTAAATGTGAATGTAACACTTGTAAAATGAATCGTTAACAAATAGAGTAGCTCGTTTTTTTTTTTTCTTCTTCTGTAATCCTTGGAGGCAATCTAATCTGTGTACGAAGACTAAATAATAATTCTTATCTCTGTTGACGTCTCGTATCCGATAAAATCTCTATCTCTAAGGTATATATCATATGCATGATTGAGTTATTTATTTCCTACAACCATACATTATAAATAAAATTTATTACAAAAGAAAAACAGTTTCTCTTTCATCAACATGTATTTTTCTAGCAGTACAAGGTTCGAACTGTATGATGTCATGTCATAAAGATGAATGAATATTTTCTAGATTAAAAAAACAAATAGCTTTCGTTTGGTTTTCTTCCGAAAAGGGAGAAAGCATTTACAAATCAAGACAAAACTATTCCCTTCTTCGGAGAAAATACTTAATTCTTCTTGGAAACGGAAATGAAACATTTTCTTCATTAATCAAGGCTGATCTATTCTTAATATTTGAATAAGAAAAAAATTTCTACTCCAGAGAAAATCGACGACTATATCTAGAAACTACGGAGAAAAGTTTGTCCAATATATGCTTCTTCTATATTTGTTCTATAATAAAATCCAAAAACTCATCATACAACAGCTTGTGAAATCTTAATCGAAGTTATACTTTATCGTTATAACTAAAATTATCTAAAAATCGATTTAACAAGCTAAGTAATAAAAATATATATAAAGGATGATAACATGGAAAAATCCACTAAAACAATGAAGGAAAAAAGTCTAACATATATCATGGGGAAGGAAACATCTATGGTGCATCACTAAACAATAAGAGAGAAGAATGTCAGTACATATGTAAAAGTCTATAGATAAAGAGAGTAAATTCGTATGACTGCATCTGAAGAAGATACATTTCATAGCACAGCTAACAAAAACTTTCATAGAGAAAAGCTAAAAGCAAGAGAAACTTTAAGAAGGAAAGATCGCCTCGTTTCCCTTACATAATCATATAGTCTGAATAAAACTCAAATTATTAGTAGAGTAAAGTAAAGGCCTACAAAAAAAATTCTTCTGCTAAATTTTTAACATCAAATTAGAATAGCTTGCTGTCAAATCAACAAGCTTATTTATTCAAAGATAAAGTAGATAGTCAATATTATTTGATCTATGTTATTTTGTATATTTTATCTAGCAACATACATCTAATGAGGGAACATCTCAATGTGTAAAATCGATTTTTGGCCCGGAACTATATTCACTCGATAGATCTTACTGACCAACGACAATGCCTTGAATGGCTTGGTTTTTTAAGTCTTTGTTTCTGAAATATCGTATTTTTACTATGTTTTTTAGCAAAACACCTTGTCCTCTCAGATTCATCTAGAAAATCAATTTTCGAATTTTGACGTTAAAAAGGAAAACATAGAATGTATTGTACTATCAGTGATGTTAACGATATTTTTGTCTGACGTTTACTAAGTGTTGAGTCGAAATTCGATTTTCTAAGTGAATCTAAGGGGGGACAGAGCAATTTGCTAATCAAGCCGTTTTAGACTTTTTCATAAGCCTCCAGAACCTATCGAATAAATGTAGTCCGAGTCAAAGAACAATTTTACACCTCGAAAGATTCCATCATAACATACATCTACAAATTAAAATTTCATTCAAATGTCTTTCTGATTATCGCATTTTATGCTGATAAAAGCTTTCAAAATGATTTCAACTTCTATATCTGGTTCTGAAATATTTAAATTACTTTTGTGTGTTCAATTTCAATTGGTATTTGTTCACTACTTATTGCTCGTATTTGTGGTTGATGAGCATGAGTAAGTTCAATATCAAGCAAGTGTGCATGTAATTGATCACACTTACGGCGTAGTTCTTCGACCGCCTATAAATAATAAAAACGAAAAAAAAAGAAGAAAGACAATTTTTATTTATTATTAGAAAAAAAAAGCATAAAATTAAATACTAACCGTTTGAGCACGTTGTAAAACTTTTAAACGATGTCGTACATTAGTATTAGCATTTTTCCAACGTTGTGATAATTGTAAAACATGTCGACGAACTTTACGTAATGTTAAATCTGAATATTTTTTTAATGGAGGTGATGGTGAAGATGTTGATAATAATTCAAATTTTCCACCTCCAGTATCGTCTAAGGAACATCCAAATAGATAAATATAGTTATATGATGATTATGGACAAGAACAAAAAAGGTCAGGGTTAGTTAGAAAAAAGAGAGAAATAGTTTCTTTTTTCACTGGTCGATTATTCTAACAAATCATAATGTAGAGATCAAATAACGAAGCATAACCGACGACCTCTTTCTAATGATACATTTATTTGCATGTTTTTGTTTTTTTTTTACATACCAGCACTTTCAATACCACTACTATCTTTGCCATCCGATGTATATAAACGTTTGCCAGTATTGAGTATTTGTTCAACATGTGGGCGAAGATTTTGATCCAGTTCCGTAATAATACGCTGAAAGCAAAGAATAAAAAAAATGAATGGCAAGGTTTTTTTCTTCTTCATCGTCTTTTTTTGTTAGAAGTAAAGAAAAATAGAGATTGCGATTATTTCCTCTATTCGCATGAAGTATCATTGAGTGTCACTTGATTAAAGAATGAATAGAGAGCATCTTAGATACTCGAATTTCTTTTCTTCTTCTTCTCTATTTTTTTTTTTTCTTTGCAAGAAGATAAATGAACTTATGAAATTAAGTCATTCAAGCATAATTGATTTCAACTTCTGATTTTTAAACAAAAATGTAAACCATAGATTTTTATTTGAGTATTATCTATAATTGAAATATTCCAGATGAATCTTTTTTTTCATTTTTGTTTATAAATACTGTTATAAACAACATAAGAATGTTACATATCAAGAATGTCTAGGAGGTAATCAACAAAAGTTAAGAGAAACAAGTCATCAGTTAGCGGCATTTTTCTTATGTCATCAATCAATATTAGTACGATCGATTGATTCTCCTATGTCAAAAAACATAAATCATTTATATTAAAGATTCTTTCGAGTTTTCTATAATACTTTCGATGACTTATAAAATTAAAATCTTTATTTTTCCTAATTTTTCTTTTTTTCTCTAAAGTGTTTTATAAATCTAAAAACATTGATTTGTTTAATCAACTTCTAAATATTCATATATTTGAATTTTAATATTCAATGAAAAACTTCTTAAATGATTGAATTAATTAACATATAAAATCTTACTTGACAATCAATAATAAGTCTTCCGTAGTCATTAATTGGTTGTATAACATTAGCTCGAATTTGTTCTTCAATATCTCTTACACGTTTAATTAAAATATCAATATTATTAATAATTTGATCAGCATTTCTAATTGATGAATTTCTATTTCGAATTTCTTCAATTTGTATTTGTGCATATGATAGTCTTTGACGTAAATTTTCAATACGTTCTTTATCATCATTATTTAAATTTTGTGGTAAACTAGGTCGTTCTTCAATTAATTGAAGAATTTTCTATACAAAAAAGAAAAAAATAAATAATAAATTATTCATATATAATTTAATTATCCAAATAAAAGAAAAACCTTCAATTTTGATTCATTATTTTCATTTTGTTTATATGAATTAATATTTTCTTCAATTTGTTTAAGATATTCATCAAAATCATCGATACTTTTTGATGTATCTATAGTTGCTATTGGTGCTGTTATACGAGTTTTTTGTTGTTCATTTAACCATTGACGCATTTCAGTTGTCATTTCTTTTGGATAATTATCAATAATATCTATAATTTCATTATTTGCTATTGTTGTATTATTTTGTATACTAAAATGTGAAACAAAATTAACGCGAAGTTGATCAATACGTTTTGTATCGATTAACATTTGTTTTAGTATCGTTTGTCGAGTGGCAAGCTCATCACGTACTACATAAACAGAAGCAGTAAGAAAAAAAAACCAAACAAACATGCATATTTATACCTGAATCGAATGGATCTAATTTCCAATCAGACGTAATTTCAGATTGATCATGAGAAGTGACTATATCAATATTTGTTAAAAGAGACTATTCATAATAAAACAAATAATTAAAAACAAAAACATTTGATATTTTAAAGTATTTTTATTTTTTTCTCTTTATACTTGAATCTTATTTTGAAGTTGTTCGATTTCTTGACGATTACCTAATTGTACGATTGTATTTAATAATTCTTTTCCTTCTTCAACTAATTTAACTTGTCGTTCTTTTTCAGATGATGATGATGATGATGATGATGATGATGACGGTAACGATAATAGAGGTAGTGACGATGATTGTGTAGTCACTGCAGTGGAAGAATCAGTGACTAACAAGAGAAAAGAAAATAAATGTAAGAGAGAAGAAGAAAAAATGAGAAAGTGCGGCTACTCTACTACCCTAATGATGCCGTAGGAGTGTAAGAAGGTGAACTATTGCTCTTCGGTGATTGAGAGAGAGAGAGAGAGAAATAGCAACAAAAGGTAAAAAAAGAAAATAGACAGAGAAAAAGGAACTTAAGATCCTGTATTCACTAACAAGACACACAATAGAGAAAAGAAAAAATACAGGAGAGCAAAATGATCATCATCATCAACTCACCTCAGGTTGTGTGTGTCTGTAGTTCAAAAATATAAAGAATACGAGAAGACAAATTTAGTCGACAGGTGACGCGCCGATAAGTAGATGTGCTCGATACATACACCATGTTTATTATTATGTCGGCTGAAACTAATCACAATGAACCAACCGAAAAATGAGTTCTTATTATTACTTTTGTCGGTAGACTCACTTATTATGTTGTGTTACGTCATTAATAACATGTCTATCTATCTATCTTCATATATATATATATATATATGTGTGTGTATGCACACATGAGGATTTGTCTATGCAAAGATTTACTGATCTACTCAAAGAATATAACCACCAGAACGATTCGCTGAAAAATGTTCACATAGAAATAACAAGTGTTTGACTTCCTGTGTTAGACAAATAAATATTGGGTACGAAACAAGTCAAGACAGAAATGCGAAAAAAAAAATCCAATTACATGTTTGTCTCTGTTTTCTTGATGGGATGTGCCTGGTCTTTATCTCTAAATATGTTAGGCAGAGAAACTATTCTTCTTTTTTTTTGGCTTGATTATTATTAGTACTTCTCGTTATAGAGAGAGAGGGAAAAAGGATTAATTTAACATGCAATACTATTATTGTAACTATTTCTGATCATGTAACTCATGTATGTGTTAAAATAGAAAAAGAAATGAATCTCAATATTGATTATGTGATGATAGTTGTTAGATTTAATGAATAAAAACAAAAAAAAAAATATAAAATTAGATTAATAATAAATTTCGTTTATTCAATTGAACGTACTCATTGATGTTAATTGATTCCATAGTTGAATTAAATGTTTTATTTTATCTTTAATTTTTTGATTATTTATATAACAACATTTTATTATTTCATCAAAATGTTGTTGTCGTTCATGTAAAGCTAATTTAATTGTCTATTAAAAATAAGATGTTTAAGATTTCCATGAATAAATAAATAAATAAAAATCTTTACTTGTTTATCAATTGTTTTTGATTCATTTATAAAGTTTGTTAACCAATTAGTGATTGAATCTAGTTCTAGAAGAAGTCCACATTGTCGATCAATATGATTTTCTAACTGAATACGTGCTGTTGTCACAGATTTTGCGATCTATAAATAAATAATAATGATGAGAACAACAAAAAGAAAGGAAAAGAAGAAAGTATCACGCACTTCTGTCAATTCATCAGTTAACGAACGAGTTACTTCGCCTGTTGTCATATCATCACTCTTTAACGTGCGACAATTTTCATCAAGTAAAATTTTTAATCGGTTGATTTCTTGCTCACATTCCTTGAGAGAAAAAAAAAAAGAAGAAAAGAAATGAAGATAGGAGACTTTTGTATTTGCTTAATATAAGATTTTTATCAATAATATACTTTAAGTTGGTATAGAAGATTATGCTCATTGATTTCGTTATCCGATGAAATCAATGAATCGAAAAAGCATTTTTTATCATCAATCATATTATGATTGGTCGTCGTCAATTGTTCTTGTTGGTAGATTAATTCTCTAGCCAACGTAAACCAACTTTCAATGTAATGAACGAGATTTTCATTCTGCTTGGCTAAACGATCTTCATTGTTATTTCGTTCAGGTGACGCATAGCGTGATGCATGTCTAAAAGAAATATATAGTAAAAATCATTTAGATCATGTATGATACTCATAATATATGCTTAAGATTAAAAGAAGAATATATCAAGATTATCATTTATCATAAGTAGAACATGAGTCAATGGATAGAAATATAAAATTACCTTTCTTTAAGTGTATTCAATCCTTCAATAAGAATTCTCCATTGTTCTTTAACATCGGCTATTTCATTTGTCATCTTAGTTGCTTGTTCAGCCGGTAAATTAGCAGCCATTGTACGATTTAATATTGTAGCACGTTCTAATAATGATTTGTATTTACTTAATTCATCGAGATTCTAGGAAAAAGAAATAGATATATATACATATACATATATATATTTAAAAAGCTGACGCATTGTTGCATATCATATCATAATATAATTTCATTTAACGATCAATCAAAAGTCGCTTACGCCCTCCTCATTACGTTTATATCACGAATTGATTTCACATTAGATTTAATTTTATTTCTTTTTCTTTTTCTTTTTTAAAACATACTTTGATGATAAGTAGTGCTCGTTGTTTATTAACTGATTGTAAAACTTCATGAATGTTAGCATTTGTCGATGATAGCCATGAAGACAAACGTTCAATATATTGTTTGTATTCAGCAAATGGACTTGTATCAGTCATTGTAAGACTATAATGTTTTTTATAATCATCACACAGACTAGAATATTCAGTTATTAAACGTTCAACAAGTGCTGATTTTGATGAAAGTTGTTTTGCTGTTTGAACGGCTGGTTCGAGACTATTAATAGCGTCTTTGATAGCCTAGAAAATATTTATTAAATAGATGCTAATATTACTTAATTGACAAGCGTGTTGTTCTATGACAATTATAAGTGTTGAAGGTTTTCTGATATTATATTCTCTATACTCAGGCAACTACGTGAATGATTTTTCTTGTTCTTACTATGCTACTTTCTCTCGTTCTTACTCTTCAGAGTTGACAAGAAAAAAAAAGGAATGGATTGTGTGAAGCCTTTCTTTCCTTTTATGAATCGAACAAACAATAGTTACTATGTTTTTCCTATATATATATATATATATTTATATGTGTATGTTTGACGAGTAATCAAGTGTAGGAGAAAGAGAAAGTTACAGGCTATCACGGAACATACAAAGATGGTTAAATAATATGAATAGTAAAGATAGAAGAACGTATGTGTATGTTAACGTGGTACAACCCTAAATCATGTGTGTGTGTATGAATAAAATGAGAAAGCTTTTTTTTGTTTTTCTTAGGAAAATATTTAAGGAAAACATTTTATATATTAAAATGATTCATTTTCTTTAAGTTCATTGAATAATAAAAGTTATGAAATCGAAGATAAACGATGAAGTAATATATTGGAATGAAAGGATACAATTTTTTTTTTTGATATAATAAGAGAAATAAATGACTGTAGAGATAGGGTACAGTTTCTGTACGAGGATTCAATAGCTACTGTACTTATGTAACAAGTAATATTCAATCTATTAGTGAAGCTTGTAATCTGATCTTTGTACGATTTTTATCAAGAACTTCAATTGATTAACAATATAATCAAAGTTATTAGACTTCTATCATCAATAATGATATGCTTAATTTCTCTACATTGATGAAATTAATATCAGTTTTCTTACTCGAAGTTTGTTGGTTAATTCGTCTTCAGTTAATTTCGTCGTTTCTTTTTGAATAATTAATATAGATAGATGTTTACTTAAAGCTGATATAGACGATAATAATTTCTGGACACATTGAATAAAGTCAGCAGGTATGTTCTCTTCTTTCCCAGTAGGCGATGCCATTGGGATTAGATGTTGTATATTGTGGAGAAAAATCTTGAAGTAGACAACGTGATGATGGATTTGCTTGTTGTGTTTGATAAGAACAATACAAGACAACGATAACAAGAAAAGGATATGGGAGAAAGGGAGAGAAAAGCAAATCAACCAACGCCTAATTGTCGCCTATGTCAATAGTGTATGAAGGATGACTGTGAAATAAACACACAAGCTGCCGTAGTTATTCAGTCGAAATCATCAGGGTCACCAATCGTATGTACGTGAGGCCGCACAAAAAAATGGTTAATTGTTTTGGTAGTGATAGAAATGGTTCTTTGTGTATGTCGATTTGATCAATTTTTCCTTGTTCTCTCTCTCTCTCGGTTGCTTCGGTCGGAGGTAACAATTATAGCAAAAAAGCAAGGACGTCATCGCGTATCATTGATATTTCTTCGTTTTTCTTTCTCTTTATCTCATTGCGTTTTTTCCTTTTCTCTATACAGATACATAATAGACCAACACCCTATACAATCGATCTTTTGGTATCCTCATGGCTATCATTGGCGGAAAGAAATCACTATATTTCTACCATAAACAAAATGCCATATACGTCATAGACAGCACTACCGTCGTGCTTGTTATTGTCAATATCATATAGTTACGAAATAGAAATCATATTAATAAGATATTTATTTTAAAAAACTCTACTAGAATATTTCATTTTCTTATAGCAAATACTTATATATTTATTGAAGAAATGAGAAGAAAAACAAAAAAGACACAAATTGTACTAGTAGAAATTTAGAACGATAGACACTTTAAAAAACGAAGACAGATGCCAGAAGACTATACTTCTTTTCTTAAAACACTTCGCACAGGCACCGACATTTAAAAGATATAAGTCAAAAAAAAAAAAAGTAGAGAAAAAAAAGCGCACGTATACACACAGCACATAATGTTTTGTTATTCTACTAGTCGAATATATAGGTAGGACTAACTCTTTCTTTCTATATGTATATCAACATGGGAGTTTTGTTTTTCTCTTAATTGACAATACGTGTTGGATGACGACCAACATTTTGTGGTGGATATATCTGTTGATCATTGATTTGTTGACGATAACTACCACCACCGCCACCACCACTAGCACTATGCTGCTCATTATAAAAATAAGTTGGATTTTGTTCTTGTGAATATGTATTTGTTGTTCGAAAACCAGTTGATGAAGCAGAAGTTGCATTTGCATTTGTACTTCCACTTGATGATTGATATTGAACAGGTATTGTTCGATTAAGTGTTTGAGTATGTCCACTTGCACTAGCTGAACGTATTTGTTGTTGTTGTTGTTGCTGCTGTTGTTGTTGTTGTTGTTGCATATGAGTACTTGATTCTTGTTGTTGTTGACGACGAGATTCACCACGTGAAGTACTTCTTTCAGCAACATGTCTATCAATAACACGTTCACGATATGTCATAGGTTGGTGATGACAAAAAGTAGGTGGTGGTGGTGGATGAGGTAAGAGACACTGATGCATTGGAAAACCACCATTTGGCATACTAGCTGATTTCGATATTGAAGTTTGGTAATTATCTTGATAGCCTTGTTGATTTTTCGATTGTTTTGTATAATGAACATTAGAACGTTCATATGAACGATAACGTGGTTGTAAGATTGGTGATGATGGTGCACTTAATGTACGATGATCAATGGCTTTCAAACTACGTACACGTAATAATGGTTGTAATTGATATTCTTCATATGTTGGAATATAACGTGCTTGATCATCAGTTTTATAACGTTCAAGTGAATGAACTGTTTTACGATATTTTCCATATTGTGGTGCTGGTTCACTTATTACTGAACGTGTATCATCAATGTCATAAATAAAATCAGAATCCAATTCCTAGAATAAAATATAAAGGAATATTTCAATTTTTAAATATATAAGAAAAAAGAGCTTAACCATAGTAAGCATGCTTAAAGATATTACTTAAATGTCTCTAATGATTTAGAAAATGAACAATTAATTCTCTCAAGAGATTCATACTCTACTAAAGTATAGCGGAAAAATCTTCGTACTATAAACAAAAAAAAATGGCAATCGTATTTTATACATCGATGGTCTCAGTTAGCATAGCTATAAAGATTTAATACCAATATCAATACCAATACCATTCATAATATAAATTGATTAATTACAAGCGTACTGAACGCTATATTTACAAAGAAAATACATGTATATGCAGTCACATTCCTGGAAACAGATTCCAGGAAACCCTTCGCTAACAAAAACAAAAAATTTTGTTCGCACAGAAAACTAAATCGTTCACAAAGAACGAAATATAACAAAAAGATAACAAAAATTCCAATTATGAATAATTTAAATGCTAATATTATAATTAATATACATAAATTTTGTAAAATATTCCATAAGAATTAAATGTCTAATGAAATAAAATTTTTATTCATCATTGACCAATCGATTCTTTTTTTTTTTTTCTCCTTTCTGATTGCCATTTTAATATTTATATACAAAAATAAAAACTTTTTCTCATACTCGTTCTTTTACTGCTGTTGTTCCAGCTGTTGTACGAACATGTTCTTCATATCGTTCATTATATCGAAAAAGTTCATCATTTCCTTGATATTGTTCAGAACGAGTTTTAAGATTCTCTAAACAATCCTAAAATATAAGAAAACATATATATATATATATATATATATTGTTTTTTGTGTATCTCAATTCATAATAAATCATCTTACTTTAAGTCGACGAATTTTTTCTCTTATACGACGTGCTTGTTCAACATCCGTTTTTTCAATAATATAAGCTCGCTCTTCTGTTTCACGTATAATTCTTTCAATTTCTTCATATTCTGGTCGATCACGAATACTTCGTTCCTAAAAAAAATGTATTTCACTATTTAAATTATTCCATATAAAAAAATATCAGCATATTATTCATGCATAGAAAATATTTTACATGCGACGAAGCAATAAAAAAGACACACATGATATATATTTATATATACGATGAGAAATAAATATAAACAAAAAAAAAACTGAAGGCATACTCGTCTAGATAATCTCCGATGTTTAACTTCCGTATCTTCATCAGTATCGTGTTGATTATCATATAAACGTTCAATTAATTTCATATAAGCCAAACAACGTAAATATTTTTTCTTAAATTCTTCATCAATAACACCATGTGTCGTACTTATATCTGATGATTCTGATGGTGAACGACGACGTGATTCGCGTTCAGTACGATTGTAACTTTTTTCAGAATAATATTCACGACGAACATCATCACGTTGATCATCTTGAATATTATTTGATGTTGTTGTTGTTGTTGTTTGTTGTTCTCGTATCTGTTTTTCCTGCAAGAATTATGTTGTGGGTGTGTGTGGAGGAGCATATGGAAGGAGGGAAATATTTATGTGCAATATCTATTTAAGTGTTCTATCTACTAAAAACTAGTTATAATCAACCCAATAACCGTATTACTAATTATCACAAAATCATTAATTTTTCTACTAAACAAAAACCAACCTGTATTGTACGAATACGACGTTGTAATTCTTCAAAATTTCGTGTTATATTTTCAATATCAGGACCAACAAGTTTGCTATATGTTTCACTTTTTGATACAAGATCTTGGCCAAGACTAAGTATTTCATCAAGTTGAGTTCGTACACTACGTAATTCTTCTTGTACTTGCTAGAAATATAATTCATATTTTCTAAGCTTAGTTTTTTTTTTTTTTTTTTTTATTTCTACTTACTGATATTCTTGTTAAATCAAGAACACGTTCAGCGTCGGATAAAAGTGAATCTAATTTTTCCAAACGTATTATTATTTCTTTATATATTTGAGTAAATCGTTGATAATCATCTTCTAATTTTCGTACTTGACCCTATTTTTGAAAAATAAAACACAAATTTTTTATTTCGTACTTTATTCAATATGAGAAAATAAAATAATAAAATAAAATCATACGAAAATAATACCTTACGTATACCAATAGGATATATGATATATTCAATAGGAGAAAGAGTTGTTGATGATGATGCCGATATACCTGATGATGAATCATATCCAGATTCAAATGGAATATAAAGTAAATTATGATAACGACGTGATGGTTCAGAATGTGATGACGTCGAACGCATGACGCCACCCCTCATTCTGTCCTCGTCGTTTTCTTATTCTGAAGACAACAATAGATCTACCAACGATATCAATTGTAAATAAATAGAAGAGAAGAAGAAAAAAAACCTAGGCTGGTGATAACAAAAAACCGTAATCAATAATTTGGTTTAGTAACACCTATTTATCTACTGTCCTCATCTTTCTCCGCTATCGATAGGTGGTGATAGTCAAAGAGGAGAAGAAGAAGAAGAAGAAAAAAAACTTAGCCAACAAATCACAAGGAGAAAAGATATCTACATGATTCGTTCACACATATAGGAAAGACAAGTAGGGGGTGATTGATGATGATGAGGCAAACAAGCTCGAATATTTTATATAAACATAGAAAGAGAATGATGGTGTTATTACTAGCATTGCTTACTTCCCACCCAGCTAGTCTCGTCATTGGATAGATTGCTAGGCTGTTGACAAGCATAGCATGTGAGTAGGAGTTTAGGAAATATCAGGGATAATTGGCAAAGAAACTTCAAGGTTGAATCACTACTGCCAGTTGTACTAGACAAAATACAAGTCCTTATTCTTTTCTTAAACGATATTATATTATAGAACATATAGATGATATATAGAACGACGATGTATATAGCAATGTCAGCCAAGAGATAAGACAGTAATATTTTTGGGAAGCGAGAAAGAGAATAGATGTGGTTTTTTTGTTTTCTATGTTGGCACTAATGGATATGAATCGTTGAGGAAAAAAAGTGCATACGAGAGAACAAGAAAAAGAAGCAGCCAAATGAGTGTACAGTAATGCGGAAAAGAATATAAAGAACAAGAAACCACAGTGTAGAAAATTGTACAAAGAAAATACGCCAACTTCGTACAGATAAGACGACTACTCGCTTGTTTGCTCTGGTTGTACTGTTCGTCCGTCAGTGAATGACATACACACGCGTCGATACAAACAGACTCTCTCTTTCCGTGCTTCACGCCATGTTTGATTATATCCATAGATGTATCTCAATCGAGACATCGACGAATGTTATCATCGTTTCTGCTTATTCTTACAAAATAAATCATCTTGTATACTATTGATCAGACGCATTTCTTTCTACTATACAAACTTCTTGATCATCAATATAGATTGATATATAAGAAACGACTGTTTTTTTTTTTTGTCTGTCCATTCCTATTATTTTCTCTAATGACAAGTTCATTTATTTCAAGGAATCGGTCAACTATATAATTGCTATGTCATCAAGAAAATAAAAACACATGGTTAGCACTTGTTCATATTACATCAATATGTGGTATATGCAAAACTGATGATAACTGTAGGTTATTTTATCAATATCGAGTTATTTAATAGAAGAAGGTTAGATATTAATATATAAGATATCTAAATGAATAATGGTTTTGTTTTTATTACCTCGACTATCTCGAAACGATCTTTAAGTCGTCGATCTAATTGATCAATTTGTCGTTTTAATTCATTTATTTTTTCATAAAGACTAGGTAATGATCTTTCAGCATCTTTTTGTATTGTACGTTCTAAATTTCTTAATATTTCAAAATTAGCTTCAAGTTTTTTAATATCATTTCTGGTTGTCTAAAGAAAATATTTAAAAAAAAAAAAAAAAAAAAAAAAGGTTTTTTCTTATATTAAAATCCTTTTCAAAAAAAAAAGAAACATACTCGTATCCAATCAGTTTCTTCTTTGGTATTTTTTGATACTTGTTTATTTTCAATTTTACGTATTTCATGATCAGCTTTAACAAACCATTCATGAATATGAGAATATTCTTTACGAAATTTTCGTAAATGACGTTCAACACTATCTAATTGATTTCTTGATGTTGATACCTTAAATGAATTAATACATTTGTCTTTTTTTTTTTTTTTTTTGTTTTAATTAAAATTTCAATTATACTTTAGCTCCAAGTGTATTATAAATTGCTTTTAGTTGATCAATTTGTCTTGTTACATCATTTGCTTCATCTGTTTGACCTTTTTCAACAATACCACGTCCAATACGAATAACATATTCAACTTCAGATTTAATATCAGATAAAGTTTTATAAAGTTTCTATTAAATTATTTAATAAGAACATAGAAATATGAAATAGTAAGACAAAGTTTCAAGCTTACTAAACAATGTTCTAATTGATTATGAACTACATCTGGATCGTCAGAACGTATTTCAAGTGTATATATATTTTGTTCAACATCTTGTAAAATTTGACGCATTTTAGCATATTTTGGTTCAAAATCGGATGGTTTTTGAAATTGTCGAAATTTATTTTTTAATTGAGTAAATTGATTCTTAAAAGAAAAAAGGATATATATTTTAAAATTTCGATCTATTAATTATAATCTTAATCATCATTCTCTTATCGATCTTAACTTTTCAAATTCTTCTAGGTTATCTATAAATAATTTCAAACGAAAGAGACAATTTATTCTTTGTTTTTTCTTTTCTTACACTTCATTTAGTATTATTAATTTTGAATAGTATGTGGTAGAAATAACAGGAAGTCATGAAAGATAAATTTTGCTAGACTTTATCAATATTTACAATTGAAATGCAAAGGAAACATTTCCAGATGGATTTTCGCCTTTGTGCTCATTTATTTACCAACGAGTAAAGGACATCTAGATAAGGATTATCATCCCAAATGGATACGTGCTGTTATTGAGATTAGACGAAGATATCAAATTTCGTGCTGAAACATTGCCTAAGTAAAGATCTCGCTTATAAAAATAAATTTTACAATTCTTAAACATAACATCTCAGAGAATATATATCTGACAAGATAATATATTCTATTTTTGGATGTCGTTCGACTTCATATTATGCCTATGAGTAGGTCTCGATATAAGTAATACAAACTTGAGAAGAATTCGAGCTCATGACCTACTAACAAAGAGTTATAGTCGTTTAAATTAAACTATTACTGAAAGCAAGACATTTTCCAAAAATCCAAAACAAAGAGTTTCGACGTGAAATGTTGTGTATCGAAAAAACTTTGCTTTCAATATAAGGGTCATAATTCTTTATCAGTAGGCCATTGGTCTAAATTCTTAGCAAGCATATCTTAGTCTCATCGAGGTCTAATAGTAGCCATAATATGAAATCAAAGGGCGAACAACAGTTGCATATGTGTTTCTTCATCAATACGAGCACGTATCCATTGAGAATTATTCTTATCTAATGATCATCTACTCATTGATAAATAAGTGAGCTCAACAATGTAATATCACCCAGGGATTTTTTATCGTCAGAAGTAACCGATAGCAATTAATTACTAGTTAATTAAATAAATCCTTATAGATGCCCTAATATCACTTAGTCTATATATGGTAAAAAGTAAAATAAACTTAGAAAGTCAATGATAAAAAAAAAAACTTCTAGAATTTGAAAATGTTTACTTTTAATGAAATAAATTGTTGTTCAAGTCGTTTAGCAGCATCATGTTTTCCTATAATACGTAATGAATGAATTTTATCTTCAATCGTACGTAAAAATGTTTCATATTGAGTAAATTCAACAGATAATTTCTATTGAAAAACAAAAAAAAAAAAAATATATATATAATTATTTATTTTTCTGTTTTTTTTTTCTTACGTCAGCTTCACTCGGTACATCACTAGCATAAACATCATCTTTTAATCTTGAATTAAGTATTGAATCTGTATGATTCATCCATTCAAACATAGCTGTTATTTGGTGTCTTAATTGTTGATAATCAGATATTTGAGAATTAAGTGTATGAATTTTTTTTGTAACCTTAAAAAGAAAACAATTTTAAAGAAAAATGTTTTTTTTTTTTTTTTTTTGTTTTAGTTTGTGTTAATGTTACATCTTCATGTAATTGTTCCCAACGAATACGAAATTGATTTATTTGACTATTGATTGCTGGTATTGATACTTTCATTATTTGAAGACGATCTGATATTTCAAAAACTTTTTCATAACCAGCTTTTGAATGAGCTTTAAGAAAACGTTCGAGACTCTAAAAAAAGAAAAAAAAAAAAAGTTTATTTATATAGAATCTTTCGTTTTTTTTCTTTTGAAAATTTACATCGAGTTCTTCAGATGCATCTTCGAGATCAACATTAGTATTTCCTGTTGTATAGATTCTATTTTGTAATGTGTCAAGCCAAATATTTTCATGATAAAGTAAATCTAATGAATAAAAATATATATATATATACAATTTTTAAAAAAGAAAAACCAACAACAATAAATTACCTTTTAATTCTTCATGTAATTTATAAAGATCTGTATAAAATATAACTTTATTATCAACTCTTTTTAGTAAATTTGACCAATTTGAAATAATTGTATCGATTTGTTGTGCTAATTCAGGTGATGATTGATTAGCTTGTTCAATTAAAGTTCGTACAGTATGTTCTTTAAGAGTAAGTTCCGTTTGAAGTCTCTATTAGAAGAAAAACAAAAAAAAATCATAGAAATGAAAATATTTTTATAAAAAAAAAAAATTCAATGATTTTACTTGATACTGTTCAAGTCGTTCACGTATTTGTTCATGATAAAATATTGATCCATCATCAAGTAATATTTCACGTTCTTTATCCATAATCCAATCGTCTAATTCACGAATATCTTCTTGTATTAATTTATTACGTTTTAAAGCATCCTAAAATATTTTTTTAAACAAACAAATATAAGAGGACGAATTAGAATAAATATATATATATGGGAGTGACCAGTCAGTATGGTACCCCATTTTTATACACTCCTATTGTAAGGATAAAACATACTATTGTTCGGGTCATATAAGAGAGGATCCTAGATAACCCTGAATTGGCCCGAACAACATCATGTTTTATCCATACTATAGTTANCCCGAGTCCCGAGCCTAGGCTCGGTCGGGCTCGGTTTGTAAAATTCCTATAAAAACCGAAGGCATTATTGCACAGAGATTAGATATGTCTCATTTTGTAGAACGATGTTTGGTCTATCTTTTGATAGGTTAGACCTCATGATTCAGTCTTTCATTTCAGAGCTCAAGATGTTAATATAAAAGTGTTCGAAAGTAATGAAAAAAAGCTCGGTACATGCCTAGATGAGACATTGGACAGACACTAATGTAAGTCATTCTCAGATTGATCAGTCATAATATGTCCAATCCAAGATTCGCTTGATAATTTTAGGCGAGTCTCATATTAGCCTAGACCAATGACGAATTGAAAGACCTTCTTGCAATAATTTTCGAGAAATTCTTCAAAAATCTCTTCCATAACTATGCTAGATTAGTGAACTTAGATTGAATCCATCAAATTCATACATTTTTATACCACCCAACTCCCCTCCCGTACCCTATGCAATATACTTGGTCTCTGATTCGAGACCAGCTTAGATAGATCTGAGATTGAATGCTAGCACATACAAACACGATTAATAGATTTCTTTTATATTTCTATGTACACTTATTTGTGAATGTGTTATTAAAAATTAAGATTTTACTGATTAATTTTTTATGTAATTAGATGAATGTATTCAAAAATGTCAATCGATTACATTTTCCTTGTCTCAAATCTCTAACACTCTGTCGTTTATATATTTCAAATGATATTCTTAATTTAATTAATTTTCATGCTCTTCATCTTGAATATTTGAATATGACTTTGTTCATATCAAGTAAATGGACTTTACTTCTTAAATTAATTTTATCATTACCAAAATTACATACATGTTATCTAAATCTTGGTATTAGTTTATGTCCTATTAAATCATCAATTTTATCAACAAGTCCTATAAAACATTTGACTTTACTTGGTTCACATCAATCTTGTTGTATGAACAGACTTGGTATTCTTTTTTATTATCTTCCTTATTTACATTCATTACGTATTGAATGTGATCGATTGAAATTTAATGAAATCATTCAGAATCAATATCCTAACAAATTATTATCTCTTTCGATATTTTCTCTTCAAATTAATCATCTACCAGAATTATTTATTGATCTAATTGATTTTATAACAACGACAATGCCTCATATAGAAAAATTAAAAATCAAATGTTGTACTCCATTAAAAAATCTTGTCTATGTTAATATTTATCAATGGATAAAAGCAATTAATTTATTAATTCATTTAAAAAAATTAATATTAATTATTATACCTGAAAAAACAATTAAAGAAAAATCTTGGAATAGACGAATTGAACAATTAATGCAATTTACTAATATGAGACATATTACCTTAGAAATTATTCCATTGACAGAACATAAAAAATAGTATTATCTGTTTCTTTTTTCCTCTTTATATATATATATATATGAATAAAAAGTCTGTTGCTAAGTGACAATAAAAGAAAAGTAAATGGCATTCTTGACTTTTTGTTTTCATTGTTTTATTTTTTGAATCAACGACATGTCTTTTTCACATACATATGAAACCTTAGAAAAAGATATTAAAAATCTTCAATTAAATTTTTCGCAAATATTAACATCTGCTTGTCATTATAATACATCAGAAATAATTAATCATATACAACATATTAATAATGCATTGGATAATATTAAACTTGATTATGAACTTCAACGTGGAGTGAAAAATTCAACTAAACAATTTGATTCAAATAAAATGAGTAAATAAAGTAAATTTAATTTAGGCAAATCTTATCTTTAATTATAGATATTAAACAATTAATCTCAAAAGGAAACGAGCTTAGTCAAGAACTGAATACTCGTCTTCATACAACTACAATTAAAACTAAAGAACATAATCAGATACGTGAAATTCATAATTGGGCATGTGAGTTTAATCATTTCTCATTTTTCTTTAAATAAAATTATTCTCTATAGGTAACTCATTACTTGAATATCTTCAAGTAAAACTTCAATGTTTTGTTTTTCATTTTTCTTTAAATAAAATCAATTTTTTCTAGAGTCTTTATCCATATGCATCTGGTTCCTATGCTCGATTAGATAATTTAGCACATGAGCTTGGTGTTACTGATCGTTATGTTGGTTATCGAAATAATTTAACTCGTTATGGAAATCAACCAATAAATGTTCATACTGTATGGGCTGATCGAAAACTACCTCGATCATCAACACCTGATTGGAAAGATTGGACTCATTCATTTCAACGTAATAAAAAAAAAGAGTCTATTTATATTGAAAGAAAACTAATATTCTATTTAGATAATAATTTTTCAACAGCTACTTTCGAACCATCATCAAATAATAATCAAAAACTTCCTGACTCTATGGGAACAACACAACCGACAGGTTAATATTTTTTCAAATTTCAAAAAAATAACAATTAAATTCTGCGAACATTTTATAATTTATTCATAGCATTTCAACATTTTAATAAAAAAAGAAATATCACATCACAATCATTTGTTTATGCTACTGATCATAATACACATTTGAGTAAAGCAGGAATGAATATAAACTATCCAGGTGGATCTTTTAATTTTTCTAATTAAGACAAATCATTTCTTGTTTGTATTATAATATGAATAGGTAAAACAGAATCTGCAATTAGTTATGTCAAACCAGAAGAGCCATCTTATTCTCTATCTCTGCCTATTGCACAACCTGATTATACTTCAGTCGGACGACCATTAACTCATCTTGTGCCTGGATCAACTGCTACTGAATATATTCAAAGGTATAATAATTTAACGAAACAAATTAACTTTTCCCACTTTTTTTTTTGATCTTGTAATTTTTAGTTATACATTTCCCGATGCAGAAAAAGTTGAAAGATATCCATGGCTTCGTCCATAACAAATAACCATCGTGAAAAACAAACAATATATAAAAACTTTATTTTTTTTGAATAAGATGGCTCTTATCAATTAAGTTTCAAAACTTGACGTTAAACATTCTATAATCATACTTGACTATCGTCTATTGAGGTTGAAAATAATAGAATAAATAAAAGTATAGAAATAATTTATTGTACTATATAAACTGATAATTGAATGAAAACAATCGGGTAATATCATCATTGGCGGGCCGGACCATAATTTTCAGGGGGGCAATAAGCACTTTTTCGCTTAAAAACGCTTGTTTTCATGGCATTCTTCTTAAGTCCCAGCCCAAAAACAATTTTTAGGGGGGCAATTGCCCCCTCTCGCCCCTATGCCGGTCCGCCCATGAATATCATTGATCATGTTTGAGTTGGATTTTTTAACGAAATATTTTTTTGACATTGAATATATGTCCATGATTACAGTACTCATTTACCCTGTAGAATTTTTCATTATGTTCTAACACAATTACTTTCACTAAGATCAGTTCGAGCAGGAACAAACTGTTTAAAGCATTTTCAAAAAATTAATCTGAATTTAATAGTTAATATTTGATTTACATTTGAAATAAGCCTATGATAAAAATGAACATATCATTGATCATCAACAGCCACAACAACAATATGATTACATACAATATCAATTATTTCGATCTAAAAAAAATCTATTTAGTTGTTATTATAATTTTTATATGAAAATCTTTTTCCAAGTACCATATTGACTTTGATTTAATTGTGTCATTGTAAATTCTTATTACAGCCTATTGGGTTGGTTTCGAATTCGAGAATTTTTGATCCGATGGGTTCTAGTCGTCTGAGAAATGCATAGGGGATGCACTAATCACTGAATACAAAAAAAAAAAAACAACGGAAAAAGTACGAATCTTCGGGACAACTGTCCAATTCGCAGGTTAGAAAATTTCATTGGAAGTATCAATGTACAGTTCGTCCGGATCCGATGTGCTCTAATAGATGTCAGCGTGGGTAAGGATCTCTTGTGTTTCCTCACCTATACTCATATCCACACATCCGTGTCGAATTGTCTCGTCATCATATTCTTGCTTTTTTTTCGAATCGATTTCGCAAACACATTTTTATTACATTGATATGTGTTTTTAATGATGTTATTACTCCTGACTAGTAATTTTTTTTTTTAGATACGTTGACATGTAGTTTATTCTATTAAATCATAAGAAATACAACCAATCAAAATTTTTTCGTTCATCAGAAAAGAAAAATTAACTAAATCGTCGTAAAACATGTGCAGAACCAGCTAATGAAATTGATGGTGAACGTTCAAGAGATTTTGTTGTTAAAGGATATCGATAGGATTTTGGTCGTTTCGAATGATTGATGTGTGAATGATGATTAATATCAAATGTAGGAATAATTACAGTTGTTGCTATTTGTTGTAAAGGTAAATCTGTTTTTGATCGATGTAAACTTCGACTACGACTAGGACGTGATTCTACGTTTCGAAATAGACCAGGTAATGTTCGACTATACGATGGTATGTCTGACTAAAACAGAGAAATGGAATATAAAGATGAGAAAAAAATGTACAAGATTGTTTTTACTTTCAATTGTACGGAACGAACAGTTGTAATTTGTACATTTTGATTTATAACAGGCACTAGAGAAAAATTTTGAAAATCAAAATGATGAGAAATCTGATCAAATAAATTTACTTTCTTTTGCTAAACGTCGTTCAATATTTGGTGAGACTTTTCGTGAAGTAATTGTATCCGCACGTTTAAATCTAATTGGACTGTGTATTGATCGTTCATAAAGCGAATGACGAACAGTAGTTTGAACTATTGAATAAGGATAAAAAAGAAAAAAAAATCGCATTTTGCTCTTCATATAACAAAACTACAATACAAACATTCATCTTTCAATGTTCGAGTTCTTGCTGGTCGACTACGAAAACGACCTTCATTAGTAATAACATGAACTTCTATTGAATATTCCGTATCAGGTTTAAGTTTTGTTGCATGATATTCTTGATCTATACCAGAATAAATACATCGACCATTACAAATAATTTCATAACGAAACAATCGACCATAGATAATTTCCGGTGTTTGCCATTTTATATGTAATTCACGTCGACCAATAACTGGAAATGTTGGTGGTGCTGGAACAGAATCACCTAACATTTGAACAATTTTTTTTCCAATCATTTTTAGATATTTTCAAAATTTTTACCAGTACAATCAGTTTTGACATAGATTGAAGTACATGATCCTTTGCCTTTCATAGTTACTGCACATACATCGATTTTGTAAGTTGTATTAGCTGTCAATGAATTAATTGTAATTTCACATTCATCGGTAAATTCATATTCAACATTATCTAAATATATTCTCTTGGTTTTAATAGAAAAACACAAAAAAAAAAGCAGGTTATGTTGTCTGCCTTACTTAAATATGTTTGATAACCTTTGAAAGAATTACAAGCACTAAGGTCAGGTGGTTCCCAAGCTATACGAATGGCTATTGTTGATGTACGGACAACACGAAGATTAATAACCGGTGGTGGTACTAAATAGAATTAGCATATATATGTTTTATAAATTTTGCTGCGAAAAATTTTCAAGTTGACAATCTATATTGTGCGTTTTATGGACGATGGAACGTACAGACCGGTAAGGCTTGGTAACCCATAGTAGGATCATGAACTCAAAAAACAAAACTATCTGCATCAGAAGTTTTTATCTTCTTTCGTATGATATTATCACTTAATAAAGACTTCAGAAAAAAGTTTATTTGAATTTTTAGCTTTCGTACTTTATGAATTCGTTCAACATCTTGAACATGCTGACACAGTAAAAGATATGATTTCATGTTAACCTAAATTTGATCAAACAAAAAGTACTTTACTGAGCGTCATCTCATTTATAAACATTTTGCCGCTTCTGTTCAGACAAACATATGGATTTTGTTCATTTACAATCAGTCTGAAAGCCATACTATACGAAGAAGTATATTTAACTGTCGGATACCATTCAACTTCTCGGTTAGATTAAGAAAAGCTTACAAAGATTCAGGTTCATGACCTCCTATTGAAGACTTATAGTCGTGTTAACAAAATTTTTAGTGAAAGAAAGATTTTTTCGAGCTGAAGTTGTGTGTTTGTAGGTACATTTGATTCGCCCTGAATGTTTCAACGAATACCTAAAAACACAGTGGTTTACTGCAGAAGGGCACGACAATCTCTAGAAAGACTGACTCGTTTGAAAATGTCTTAATGTCAATAAAAATTTCATTAATCTCAGCCTTTCTATTCGATTTCATGGCATGTTAAATGCTAGCATCTCGGTTTTAGATCCGAATCTTTATATATTTCTTAGATTTTTGAAAAAGATTAAATTCCTTTCTGAGATATAGTACAAGGTATCTTAACAAAAAAAAAACAATTCCAGCTCGATCCGACAAAGTTAGATGGAGATTGTAGGCGAGTCCATCATATATGTACTTAAAAACTTCATGCGGATCAATTGTATCCTTTTCAAGAACTAGAGATGACCCCAAAGAGAGAAAGAGAGTAACCTAAAATTTTTCTTAGTCTTACCGAGACCTACTCGTAGTCATAGTATAAAGCTAGACAACGTCAGAAAAATTATTTTTGAATTCATTTATATATTTAATTTTTAACTTACATTCATCATCCGTCTGAAATATCGTTGGATCACTAGGAATACTTTCACCTTGTGTTGTTATATATTGAATCTTTACATGATAACTTGTATTCGATTTTAAATTATTTATAGAATAATTTGTTTCATGTGTTTTTGTAATAGGAACATCATCTTAAATACTGAAACTGAAAATAATTGAATAGAAACATGAAAATTTTACCTAATATAATACGATATTGTATTTCATTTTCATCTTCAATAGATAAATATGGATCCCAAGAAATATCAACAGAAGTTTCTCGACATTCTAAACAAAAAATAAAATCATGCAGATCTAATAATAAAATTATTCATAACCATCAATTTTAGGTTGTTTTGGTTTGATATTTTTATGTATCATAAACCAAAGTAATTTCGATTCATCTTGTATATCTTTAAATTCAATCCATTTTTCTTGTACTTGTTTAATTATTCCTAATAATTTTTGTGAATAACATAAATGTTCATATGCTCCATTATATTTAGCAATTGTTGTAAGACACCTGAGTACAAAACAAAACAAAAAACACTCAATCACTTTTTTTGTTTCGAAGTGAAAAAAAAATATAAATCAAACTATTTCAATTACATTAAAGCAAACCAAACAGTTTCATGTTCCATTGATAAAAGTATTGTTTCAATAGCAATAAGTATTCGACGAAATAATGTTATCGATTCAAGACATAATTGAAAACCATATTGACTTGTACATAAACAACTTAATGCATAACAGGCGTTTTTATTAATACCTTTATCTTCATTGATTTCAAGCATTATTAATAATGCTTCAAACTATAGGAAACAATAAAATTTCTTTATAATTTTTTTTTTAAAACATTAACTTACAAATTTATTTTGTCCACAATCATCAATTAAAATCTTCTTGCCAGCTTCTCCTTCTATTAGACGTGCAATAGCAAATGCAATATTTGTTGAACGATTTGGATCATTTACATCAAGTGCAGATAAAAGTTGATTTAATATTGCATGATGTTTATCATGTGTCAAGATTATTTGACAACCAGATTCTTCTACAGTTATTCTATTATACAAAATATAATAAACATTTTTTTTTTTTAATAATTATATTTCTTTTATTTTTCACCTTGCGAATACTAATGCTGCATTACTAGCAATCCATGGATTATCTGAGTTTAATAATGTTGATATATTGAAAACCATCTGAGTAATACAAACATGTTTTAGAATCAAGTGACGTCCTTCTTTTGAGCCAGACTAAAATTATAAAATATGGACAATTTTATTTTAAAGCCAAGATTCAATCGAGAAAAAACAAAGCAACTTGTGATAGTGTCAGTTTCGTTCAAAGAAATTCAAAAAAAAAAAAAACAACAGAAAGATCCATGCTTGATATGAAGATAGAAAAACCATCACAAGTTTAGAGTGCGAAACCTACATACTATAGTACCGAGTGTCCCTGTTGCATTCAATACACAATCGGAATCTGAATGTGTTAACATTTGACATAATATATATATAATATCAACTGTTTTTGACATATAATCATCAGTGAATATAGATAAAAATTGTTTCAAACCTTTATCCATTTCAACTATACTGCCTATGATATAAGCAGAATTACCACAAATACTAAAATATTGATAAGAAAAAAATTGAGTTGAAAAAATTTTCAAAATAAATATATATTTATATATATATATTTACTAACCGATCATCATCACATAATAATAATTTTGCAATAAATAGAAAAATTTCATTAACAGATTGTTGATTAAGAAAACGATCAATAGTTTTATTTTGATCCTGTTTTATATCATCAACAAAATATTCCAATGCATGACGAATATGTTTGTTAATATGATAAAATTTTGAATTTAACTTTTCATTTTCATTTGATTTAAAACGAAGAAAATAATTTTTTTGATCAAAATGAAATTGATTATTATTATATTCACTTTCCATTTAAAATAAATGCCCGAATACTAAGTAAAAACTATAGAAAAACAGAGAGAAAAAAAAAAAAAAAAAAGAAAGAATTAAGATTGCAACTATTGCGTTGCTCATGTGAACATGTTTCAAATATATTTACTTGAATGAAAAGGTAAGGAATCAAAATACAAAAAGAAAAAGAGAAAAAAAAACAAGCGTAAGAAAAACAGGCAGTGAAATGTTTTTTTGTTATGCTTTTTGTCAAACAAGTTAATAGTCAAAATGAAGTCGTTCATTGCAAACTTGATCAATTGCTTTATTTATAGTTACATCAAGTGAACCAATTTCACATAAATTAGCTATGATATAAAGTTTATTCAGAACAAATTCATTCTAAAATAAAGTTATTAATTAATAAAAAAAAGAAAATTAATTATAAAATAACAAACTTGAAGATCAAAACATTTTTCTTGAATATGTTCTGTTACAGATTGATAACAATCATATCGAGTTAATTTCAGACGTTTTTCTGTAACAACTTCTAAATAACCACCACGATTTATTGATAATGATGTTGCAGCTATTTGTTCAATACGAGATGTTATTATTTCACGATCCTAAATATAACAGTGAAATCTACTTGTTTGAACTCAAAAGAATTATTTTTATAAAAACACCACCTAAAAGAAATTTTGAAGTAAATAGGATAGAAATTTACATCGTCCCCTTTCCATAGATCGTAACAGACGATCACCAAAGGCCATCATAGACTGTGACACACGCTAGTGAGAGATGGTATATCACTAAGATCTCATCAGAAATGTAAACCGGAGAGTCGAACGGTGGCTCAGACATATGGCTTACACCTCTAGTCATGTTTAATTATGTTCGCATGCTTTCTGAGAATATTCAAATTGAAGAATTTCAATTGAATACAATCTAGCTGGCTCAATGCTTGAGTACAGTACAATTATTAAGACATACGTTATATAATTGAGCAAGTTCGAGTTGTAATTTTTGTTTTTCGATTGAATTATCTTTTGCAGCAGCCAAACGACGAGTAACAATTGAAATACGAACATTTTGAGTAGGAACAGCATCACGCTAACAAAAAAAAAATTAGAATTGATTTAAACTCTTATTTATCATACTCGAAGTGCAGCATTATTATGTTTCTTCAATAAATTACGAATAGGTTTGTATATTTGTTTTGTTGCACCTTGAAATTCACTGACATTATGAGTTTTACCTAAATTCTATAAAAAAAAAAAAAAAACAAAGTTTTTTCTTTTTCAATAAAACAACATTTTGTTAAATCTCTTACAAGATCACCATATTGCATAACATGACTTGTATTTGTATTTTTTTGTGTAACTAAAAATTGTTGATATAATGTTTCTTGATCAAGTTGTTCAACATCGGAATCTTCCATCCAAACAACTGAATAAACATCTCCTAAATATGTTTGTCGTTTATCATCATAATAACAAGCATATGATGATTCGTCTGCATTTGATGCTGTTGTTGCATATACATTTATATTATTTGGTAGAAGATTTTCAAGCATGGAACCTGATTCACATGCTTCAATATAAATAACCATCTTTAATTAAGAAAATTTATTTGAAAGAAAGAAAAAAAAATTTTTACAAAAATGAAAAATAATTTTACTAACTTGTTTGTATTTCTTTTCGTTATACATTTTAGTTATTGTTTCATTCAATTCTTTTGCATGTAACTATGAATAACAATCAAAGTCTATTGTTTGTTTTAAAGACATATGAATACTTACAACACTATGTGGAAAAGCAACCAAGCCTATATAAGAGGAAAAAAAAACAGATATTTAATAGAATTTTCATATTAAAAATTGCACTTACCAACGGCACCATGATCGGTAAAATAGATGAAGACATTGTCATCGGGACCACTAAAACAGATTATCGAAATTCATGGTTTCTATTCGTTTTAGATAATTTCTATACGATTGAAACCGGGCGAAAAAAGTATTGATGCATTGATAGTCGTTCTCTGATCAGAAATATAGAGGGTGGTCCAAAAGTTATCCCGCAGTTTTTGATTGCGAATAACTTTTTGATAGAAACAAGAAAAAGATCTGCTGTTTTCACCATTGAAAAGAAGAGACTAGGGAGCATCGAACTACAATATTCATAAATGTTTTGGATGATTTTTGAAATATTAAGATTAAATAAACTGGTGTATTCAGTATTTAAAGCCCTATGCGAGTTTCAAAAACATTAGTTTTTCAAAATCCATGTGAAAATAGAGTTTTTATATTGTTCGATGTTCTCGAATGTTTTCTTTTCAATAATGAAAACTGCAGTTCTCTTTGCTGTTTCTATCAAAATTTATTCATAATCAAAAACTAACCGGGAACTTTTGCGTCATCCTATACTGCAAGTTTTACTAGCAGTAGTACGAACAAAAATGCAACATTGGCTACTTTTACGTATAATCTACGCTGCACTGGTTTTACTAGTGTAACTAGGCGGAAGCTAGAGAAGACTGAGTCCGTCCTAGGAGTGTTTCTGAAAAATTCCCATCCTGTCTATAGACATGGTCAAGAGCTGAACCCTCCAATAACTTTTCTCTGATTACGTGACTAGCTGTCTTTATATGAAAATTGATCCGCTTATTCAATAAATTTTTAATTTACCTTTCTAAGACTTTACCACTACCAACACCTTTCAAAGCTTCTTTATTGCCAAGTAAAACATGTATAAAATTTCTTGGTGTTACTTCCTATTGAAATATAAAATTATAGAATAAAAAATAAGCAATACATTCATTATACCAAATGAGTATAATCATGAGGTACACCATGATAAACATCGGCTCCATTTGGATGATTGATAATAATACCTTTGGTTGGATTTCTCAAAAACGATTTTAAAAAAAAGTTATTCTTTTGATAGACAAAAGAAAAAAACAATGATTCAACTTACTGAATATTTTTAGCTAAATCATCATACATCATAACAACAATATTTGAATCGGGTATACCATTTTTATGTAAAATTTGATAGGCATGACAAACATCAGCTTGATGTCGGTAGTTATACCAACCATTAGAACCAGCAACAAGTACTGCCCAATTAGCTGCCCAAGTACAACTAATACCGAATAGAACAAAACTTGCAACGAAAACTACTAGATGCCGATACATTACACAGATGTATACAAGATGATAAAAAAAGAATCGAATGACAACAAAAAAGAAAAACGAAAGAGACAGTAGTTTTTATTTATCTATCTCATTTTGCACGATAATACGAATAAAAACTTTTCGTTATCATTAATATGAGAACATTCGTCAATCTTTTACCTATCAGAGAGACAACACCGCTTATCAATTATTAAGTAATGTAAATGAAATCATGTGACTTGATATATACATATAGAAAGATAACATATAAAGTCATTCTAAAATAACATTACAATTTGTTCGAAAATAAAAGTTTCAGAGAAACGGTACATTGTATACTAATAGTAGTCTTGTCTTATCGAATAATTAAAACGCTTCGCTAGTCTTAAGAGGGAAGTTTCTCAATTACTTAATCACTTTTGAGACCGAACTATGTACAGTATGTATGCTCTAATAAACTATGAATATTTTGATAAGAGTTGAGATTCATAGTTTATTCCTAAGGAGATATTGTATTATTAAACTTAATTGCGAATTTCAACTTAAAAATCTTCTATAGAGACAAGCATTACTGAGAATAGTTTACGGTAAAAGTTTCAAATTTTTTCATTTTTCCTATCGTAAGATACGGCTATAATGAACTTGAACCTTTCATAATAAACTATTTGCAATAAGATCTGTATCTGTGTAATTTCAAGTTGAAATTCGAAAATAATTTTTCCTCATGGTCTTGAGGAAGACCATGACATTAAGTTTAAAAATGCAGTATCTCCACAGCAATAAGCTATGAATTCCAGTCCTTTTCAGAATATTCATAGCTCACGGTGCCCAAACTGGGTGAAACTTTTGTGGTCTAACGCAATCTGAGTCGAACTCTGTTATCGACAACTTTTCTCAATCTTTTTTTTTTTGTTTCTTTTCATTTTGTAGTTGAAAACGAAGGCGGTATGTTCTTGACATTTCACTGATATTTTACAGTTGATACCACATGATTATGTAATAACTTTTCCTTGTTTACCTTTGCTTTTTATAGAACCTTATAAACGAGAAAAAGCACCATTCAAACTTTAGATTCATCTCAAAATTCAAAAGTTTTTTTCATAACTCAATCGGAGTTGGACACTAAAATAGCTCATTAGAATCTCCATAATGCTCATAGTTTCAACTAAAAAACAATTAATCAATTTTGGAACTTCTCTTGTTATTAAAGAAAAAAAAAATGTTTCTCTTTTGATCATATCTTGAAAATGAAAGACTAAGATACAAATAATTATCAAGTTTTGAAAATCTATTGAATTCTATTTATGATCAAAATAAAGAATTGAAAGCGTAGAGTTTCGGCAGAAAGATTTGGCCGAAAACAGATTTTACTGTCTTCTACGAATTTTACATCAAAGGACATACTCAATTTAAATTAAAAAAAACTTTTCTTTGAAAAAAAAATTGATCCCAAGTTTTCTGAAAGACTCTTATTAGAGACGAAAATTTTTGACATGCATAGTTATTTCACTATATTTACATCAAGCATAGAATAAAAAAAAACCCACAAATTTGAGCGTACAGTAAATTGTCTATGTAATCCAGGTCATTTTTTTTTCGAATAAAAATAAACAATTATTCTTAATTAAATAAAAATTATGTTCGAAAAACAATCTATATTGATTGTTTAATTTAAAATGTATTAAGAAAAAAAAAAAATATTCATCTTTAATATAAATTTATATTTCTTCATTCTTCAAGGTCTTTTATTATTTATTTATATTGTATTAAATAATTCTGATATATTTGATCTTTGAAAAAAAAGAAGAAACAGTTTGATTTAACGTCGTATTGGTTGTTTTCGACCAACAAGTCTAATAAGACTTGCATTTGTTATGCCATATCGTCGTAATGCTCCTGTCGGTTGTTCATGTAAATTTTGTCCTTTGAACATAATACGTTGTACATGTGTTGGTATATTAAATTGTTTTTCTATATGTTGTTGAAGTTCTTCAACTATTGGATCACTTGAATTAGTCGGTAAAATCATTTCGTATACGTCACCTCCATATTGAATTTGAAGTTTAAGAAAATGCATTTTAGAGTTTCTAATCTTAAAAAACAACTAAAATAAAAATTATTCTCATAGGAAAAATTTTAAAAGTATATGCACATGAATGATTTCTAGTCAAAATTATATTTTTTTATGAATTAAATCGTAGAATGCTAAATTCACTATTGAAGTATTTATTTGATTTAAATTTCTTTTTTTTTTTCTATCACTCAATTAACCGTCAAATTGATATAAAAGTATTTCTACTACTCACTATGATAAAAAAAAAATGTCATAGAAACCATTATATAGCTAATAGGAATAGCTATTCTTGATTATTTTATTCATTTTAAAGAAGAAATATTACGATATTTGAAAACAAAACTTCACAATATATATGGGAGTGACCAGTCAGTATGGTACCCCATTTTGATGCACTCCTATTGTAAGGATAAAACATACTATTGTTCGGATCATATAAGAGAGGATCCTAGATAACCCTGAATTGGCCCGAACAACATCATGTTTTATCCGTACAATAGTTGAGAACAGCTACTAGCTTATCGTGTGAGTTGGCAGCTTTTCTCTACTATTGTACGGATAAAACATGATGTTGTTCTGGTCAATTCAGGGTTATCTAGGATCCTCTCTTATATGACCCGAACAATAGTATGTTTTATCCATACAATAGGAGTGTATCAAAATGGGGTACCATACTGACTGGTCACTCCCATATATATAAGTTCATCAGAATAGTAATCAAGTAAATCTATATCAATTTATAAGAATGCTAACTTTTTTTTCTTTATAGTTTATTTTGCTTTATATTTGTCAACAGTGAACTTGATACTAATTTAATATAGTAACAAGATGGTTATACAAATTGATTTTAAAGATAACGGAAAATATAGATAATTTTATTGATAAAAATAGCCAATAGGATGGTTATTTCGTCATACGATTTTTCAATGTAAGACACGGGTTAGCATGGTATATTATAACGAACTCGCTCGTACTATCTAGGTTATAATTGAGAGTATAACGTAAAAATTGCCGTATCAATGATGAATATGATAATGATCATTATTTAAAATTTGTTTATATTTAACTAGTCTGCAATTAAGTTTGATAGAAAAAAAAAAAAAGTTTTGTTTCATAAAATTTGGATCAAGTCTCTAAGATTAATTTAATATTCATATGAGAAATCGCATGTCATTTTGACTTATTCAGCAGAGAAGACATGATGAAAGATAATATCTAGAATAATTAAAGTTACATTCTCACGAAAACATCGATAATTATTAGAAAAATGTAGGTATCAAATTTGTAAAAAGTCGATCTATTGTCAATCGAAAGATTAAATTACATTTCCCTAATGATTATTAATACAATAAAAGTACTCGATGAAATATTTCGAAAAACAATTCGTGTTTATTTTTATAGTTATCGTCAATTCACTAATCATTCAGTCTTTAATATAAGATTATTCGTGGACATCGAATTACGAAATTTTACTTTCTATGTCTCATAGGCTTAATAAAATCCTACAAAATTCTATTTATGATTCGCTTGTGATAATCTAAAATGTCAATCACACAAGGTTAACATTAAAACGAAGGCTTATTAATGCAAAATTTGAAAAAAAAAAAATTTCTCTACGTATACTCGTAAAAAAACATTAAATCGAAATAAAATATTTCCTTTTTTTGTTCTCGGTAATTTAAATCTAATAATAAATTAACCTGAATATTTTGTGAATAATTTTTAGTTGAACTAATAAAATGACTCCAACTTTCATTTAATTGTCGCATTTCTTCTCTTAAACGTCTTGCTAAATTATCATCAGCATCTTGTGTTAAATCAATAAGATCTTTATTTAAACGATTAATAATTGTTTGCATTTCACGTATTTCATGTTGAAGAGTCTAAACATATGAAATATAAAGAAAAACAAGTTTCTTTTTTTGTTTTTTTACTTGATTTCGATCAAATTGATTTTCTAATCCATATGAACTTGTTTCACTAACTAAACGTGTTTGAGTAGTACGTATCCAAATTTTAACTTCTTCAATTCCACTCTATAAAAAAACGTAAAGAAATAGAATAATAATTACAATTGAATATATATTTTCGTTTTCTTTTTCTTTTTACTTCAAAATCATTTAATGCTTTATCAAGATTACTGGATTTTGTTAAACGTTCACTTAAAAACATTTTAATATCATTTAAACGATCACGATAATTATTTAATTCTTCTTTTAAAAGTCGAGTAACCTCAATAGTTAATTTAGAATAATATTCATTAGCAATTTTATTTAATGATTCTAAATTATGTTCTTGTTCAAATGTTTGATCAAGTAAATCTTTATAAACTTTTTTTTTCATATTAATTGAATGAATATCAGTAACACGAGTTTTATCATATAATAATGATGGTTCCACATATTCAAGCCATACACGTAATTTACGTTGAATATCAGTATATATTGTTGGTAATACTGACAAATAACTTGTATCTGGTGATTTGTGGCCTGAATAAAAGAAAACAATGCAAACATTTCTTTTTCTTATTGATCTTATTCACACAAAAGAAAAAAAAAACCAACAATATGGAAATAGATTCCCTTAGAGAAATATATAAATATCAAATAAATAAACCATTAACCCAAAAAAAACATTGTTCAAGTTAAAAGAAAAGATGAATTCAATACTAAAAAAATAATATTTAAATATAACCTACCATGAATATGTTTTATTGATGATGGACTTGTTGTTTCATAATGATGTTGATATTGTGATGATTCATAATTTCCATTTTGACCGTAATCATATGTATCAGTGGCACTTGTACGTATTTTTCGTGTAACAGATGACGAATGACTTTCACGATAACGTCGTTCATATTCACTATCTTGTTGTGTTGATGGCTGATCAAATACTTCAACATATGATTTAACACGATATTTATCTGATGGTAATTCAGTTGAACCATTATTATAAGATCCATCATTACCACCAAATGTGTAAATATTTGTTAAAGTAAAAACACTACCATTTTCACCAATTGATGGACCAAGGTTTGTTGTTGTCGTTGTTGTTGTTGCTGCTGATGATGATTGGTCATTTATTTCTGATCGATTAGGACTTATTGGAATCGATGTAACACCTGTTTGACGAAACGATGTTATGTTCGAACTGGTAGTTACTCCTGATGACTGTTGTTGCATGTGTTCGACAGGAATAGTTCGCTCACCTTTATCAGATGAAAGAAAAAAAACTTAGTAAAGATAGCAAATCAAACATAAGACTACATTATATCTGATAGATAGAACTATCATATAACAAATGTTTGAATAATAAGTGAAAGAAAATACATCATATTAATATATGTATGTGAAGGCATGGGGAAAAAAAACAGTAAGTAGAAATATGCTAGAAAACAACAAAATAGCATAGACATGCAATCAGATATAGAACTGCCATCAACTATTACCCTATAGTAACTCATAAACAAGCCGCAAAGACCTGCTCGTTCTTTATTTGTCCTACTTCATCTTCCATTTTTTTCTTCTTACTAGCCAAACTAAGTGACACAGCTACATGTCGTCGCCGTCGAGGCGACATACAAAAGAGCATGCATGGATGTTCGTATTGAAGAATGACATCGTGCAACAGATGACATGGATAGAAAGAAAGAGCTTTCTTTCTCCCGTTTTTTTTTCTTTCTTTTGCTTGTTCGCTTGCTAGGACGGAGTAAAATTCGAGCAGCATCGTTTGCACACAAATATGTGTGCGCGCACACACACACACACATAGACAGTGTGAGAACAAATCCAAATTTACTAACGACAATCTCACTCTCGCATTCGCTTGTCTTATTGTCCTTGCGGTTTCTTTTTTTCTATATCGTTGTCGCGCTCTACGCTAAACGATCATGGACAACGTTGACAATTCCGATCTTGGCAATGACGATATATATATATATATACATATGAATGTGTGCTATTCATATACGTTGATTAGTCTTATATACGTTCAACATAAAACAATATCATGAATACTTGTGCTTATATCCAATAGCGGCATAGAAGAAAAAGAGAGAAAAAAAGTAGAAAGGCTATGTAATAATTTGTGAACTAAAGAACACTGATCAGTAAAAGATAGCCTCGTTTTGTCCTCTTCCTTCCTTCTTTTGTTTCGGTCAGATGCATTGATGGTGACCTGAATGCATGCTCATATACGTACAATCGTTATGCCGCCCCTTAATCAACGGCAGATTTGCGATTGAAGCAAAGCTAAACAAAAGCTGAATAATGAAGAGGAGGTCGATTATGAATAACAATGAAATCACGCGCAAAATACATATATATTTAAGAAAAAAAGAACAAAACGATAATGCGAACATATTGCTACTTACGTAGTCGGGACTGTGTGTCATCCCATGAACGTAACAAATCATTTGTACGTTGAAGAGTATTGGTATCAAAACGATCAGCCATACGTTTTAAATGAGCAAGACGTTCGTTATATGTTTGAAAACTTGTTAATTTTGCCTATAGAGAAGAACAAAAAAAGAAAAAAAAACCAATCATTATTTTTCTTCTTTTTTTCAAATGACAAGAACAAAAATCTATTCTGTTTTTTTTTTTTCATTCAGATTCAAAAACAACATCGAAATAAGTAACGAACTTGAGATAGATATAATCAAGGTTTCTTACACGTTTCGTCAGTCCACTTTGTGTATACAAATATATGGTGAGGTGAATGAAAATGCAAATAACTATTTATAAGTAACGTCTATATGTATGTGCATGTCCCATGAAAAAGCAGAGAAAATGTACGATTAGAGCGATGAGTAGAAAAAAAAAAGCGTTTTTGTAGTAGTGACTGGCTGACTGACTGACTGACGAGAAAAAATGTAAATGACAGGAAAGAGAAAAGACGAGAATATAAAAAATAACAAGAAAAAAAAAACCACAACATTGTTGTTTAAACATTTTCGATTGATGATTTGTTGATCTTTTGTTGTTGTTTTTTTTTTCTTCTTATAATTAAGGATAATAATAGTAATAAAAATCATCTAACAAATAAATAGATAGAAAAGAAAATCGATCAAATCATTTATTATTGCTTTCGATTTGATCGATTGTTGTATATTTTATATATTTTTTCTTCTTATCTAGTTGCCTTGTATTTATATGATATTATCAAACTCTTGTTGTCGATTAAGCGAAGATATCATCGCTCAATCATCCTTCTTATATCAGTTATCGAGATATACATATTACGTTATACATGTCGTCCAAAAAATAACCATTAGAGAAACTATCTTCACACCATTAAATCTACACCAACAGGGAAAGAAGAAGAAAAAAAAGGGCAACACCTGCCAATTATCGAATAACTTATTGGTACATTATATGTACATGTACAATGTACACTTGATCTATAATGTATGATGTAATATCATACATCATTTAATTAATATAATTTTATTCTGATGAATTATACCTGATTTTCTGTATTTGAACTAGACAATGGTGTTGAATCAACCCATGTTTGATATTCATTACGTAGTTTAGTTAATACTTGAAGTTCATCATTAAATCTCGATTGTTCAATATCTTGTTCACATTTAAGAATTTGTTTATGAAGTTCTTGCCATCGATTTTCTAATACTTTTAGTGTTGATTCATGTTCACTTGAATCTTCATTTGCTAAAGGAAAGAAAAAAAAATGACATTGATCATACAAAAAAAAAAAAAAAAAAAAATAAATCTGTTAAATATTTACCGTCTTTCAATTGTTGTGTTATGATATTTCCTGTTTGAATAAGAATTTTAAATTGATCATCATATGACAGATATTTTGCTTTCACTTCCTAAGAAAGTGAAATAAAAAATGAATTAAAAAAAAGAAAAAAAAAAAAAAAAAAAAAAAAACTTTTTATTCTTTTACTTGAATAATATGTTCTCGTTCATTCAATTGTAATTGATTCGATGGTTTTTCATCTAATATTCTTTCAATATTATCAATCCAATCAATATATTTTCTAGCTGATAGATCAAAATCTGATTTCATGGTATTTTCTTTATTTATCTTTTGTTTTTTATTTATTGAATTATCCGGATTTTCAGAAGTTGTGGTTGTGGTTGTGGTCGTTTCTTCAACAATTGTAGTTGTTGTTGTTGCTGTAGGTCTTTGTATGGTATCATTAGTTGGTTTTACATTTGTTTGAACATTTTTTTCAAAATTTTGACTTAATTTTTTTAACTAAGATTCAAAAAAGAACAAATAAATGTTTTATTAACATAAGACAAGAAATTTGCGTATTTACTCTTGTCGAACATTGTTCAAGGTCATCAATAAGTTGTGCCCAACGTTTTTCAAAATTATTTATTTGTTCATTTAAAGTTTTTAATTCATTTGATGTTGTACTATCATAGAATGCACTAAGAATTTTTAAACTATTATCTAATGAAAGAATTGATTGACGTATATCATTCATTTCAGATTCAGTTTTCTATAGATAAAAACAAAACATTTTTCAATAGAATCGATCAGAATTCATTTGAATATTAAATAATAAATTATTTTTTAGAATAGAATATTCGAGAATATATATAGTTTTAGAAATAGAATACTCTCAATCATTATCTACATCTAAAATATTTGTCTTGATTGTCATGATTATCTGTTATTTACATAGCGACGATGTTAGGCGTAACATGATCATTTTTTTCTTAATAAAGTTTCATCTTTTATTTTCAGCAGGATAAAAACTAGTTAAAAACACAAGCTGATACTGCTTTCCCTGGATTTCATAAAAAAAAACCATGTTTTTTTCCTTTTAGCAATCTTCTGAATACTCCAGTCTATTTGCACTTGTCATACTGTGCACAAGAAAATAATTTCTCATCATTGGAATGTTTTTATGCTACTAGAATCATGAATATATTCAATAGAAAGTACTCGAATGATTTACATTTATCCGATTGATTCAAGTAGCATTGATTGCATTTACTAAAATATATTATCGATTTGTTCAAGGACACATGAAATTAAACCCAAAATTCAAGAAGACAAAATTTATTTGAATTTCAAATATTTAATTAAATATTCAAAATAATAATGTTTTTTTTTTTGGCTTCATATCAATGAAAATTGATGCTAGATTAATAATAAAAGAAAATTTTCAAAAGATGAAGTCAAATAATTTCAAATAAATTTCTTTCGATTATATGTTTGATTCCCATATTGATTATTCGAAAAGTTTTTTGAAGGTTATGATAGAGTATATATTCATTCAAAAAAAAAAAAATATTTAACTGAAGAACGATATATATCTATATATATAGCATATGATGAACAATTGAAAATTATTTTCTAAGGTTAATGTTAAAAAAAAAAGAAGACGTTTGATTACCTGAATAGAATGAACTTGTTGCATAAGTATGTCAGTATTACTAATATTTGTTTCTGCTTTCATTTTATTCATTTCATCTTCTTTATCTGTTAACCATTTACCAACTTTATTACGATTTGATTCAGTTTGTTCAAATTCAATTTTAACTTCTTGTAATTGTATCCAACGACTATGTACAAAATTACAGATATGTGCCCAACGTTCACTTAAATTTAATAATTTTTCTTCGATTTCTGATGATGTATATGGAGATGTTTGTTCTTCATCATTTGACGATGAATCATCAACAACAATAATCATATTTTGTAATGATTCAGTTGTAACTTGTTGAGCAACAAGTTCATCTTGTAATTGAGCTAATTGTTGATATTGTCGATCAATACCAGATACATTTGATTCCATTATATCTAAATCTTTTGATATACGTTGTTCAGTTTGTAATAACCAAGTATCGAATGTTTCAATTTGATCAATTTGAAGTTTCATTAATGTTTTATGAAGACTAAAATTAAAAAGTAAATTTCGAAGAAATTTTCGAACTGAAAAATTTATATCAAATTTGATTTACGAAGGAAAGTTCCTAACTGATCAATCGCTTTTGTGTTGAGACTATGTGCATTATGTAGATACAAATGAGTTATGAATACTCTGAAAAACGTTCGGACTGATAGTGTATTGCTACGGAGATATTGCACTTTTACGGTATGTTATTAAATGAATGCCGTAGTCCCCCTCACGAAAACCAGAAAAAATGATTTTCGAATTTCGACTTGAAACTTTACATAGAAACAAGTCTTACTGAGAATAGTATTTTATGAAAGTTTCAGATCTTGTCGCTGTTCCTATCGTGAAATGAGAACGTCAAAGCTTCTGGTTTATCTGAATGAAGTTTGCCATATTTGTATCTACGGATAGGAACAGTGACAAGATCTGAAACTTTCATAAAACACTATTATCAGTAAGACCTGTTTCTATGTAAAGTTTCAAGTCGAAATTCGAAAATCATTTTTTCTGGTGTTCCTGAAGTAGACCACGGCATTTACTTAGAAACATACCGTAAAAGTGCAGTATCTCCGTAGCGATAAGTTAGCAGTCCGAACTTTTATTAGAGTATTCATAAATCATTTGTACATAATTACATAATGCACATAGTTTCAACACAAAAGAGATTGATCAGTTGGATACCTTCTCTCGTTAGTTAAGTCTTACGAGGGAATATGTCGAATTCATTAAACTTCATATTATATTTACTAATAGGTCTGTGTGAGATACAAGAAAAGTTTACAAAAGGATTCGAGCCTATGAACTAGTGATTAAGAGTTATGGTTGTTGTAATGAAACTCTTAGTAATCAGTAGATAGTCTTGAAAATGAATATTTCGAGAAAGATATGTTCGTTTTCGTTGAAATTTTCAGAACTATCTAATGAGTATAAAATCTTGCTATAGACAATGTTCAGGTTAAAAAAATTCTTTCCGCTAAGTTTTTCGAAAATGATTTATCTTCTAAGTAAAAAAAAAATTTCATTAAAACAGCCGTAATTATTGACCGACGGGTCATTAGCTCGAATCATTTTCAAGCTGTTCTTGGTTTGACAAGGATCTATTCATAGACACAATATAAAGAAGAACAGTGTGCGACAGTTGGATATATTCCCTCATTAGCATGACACATTATGACAGAAGAACGAGTGGCAACGACAAGAAATCTTTTGTTTACGTTTCTACCAAAGAATATGTTTAAGCATATACCAGGAAACTTAGTCAGATGTACCCTTTCGATTTTAATGGTTTTTTTTGTCTGTAAATAGTACATTGAGTTCTAATAAAAATCCTCAAATGGGCTTCTGTTGATATTTGACTATGTTATCGACCTTTAAATATGTCTATTATCTAAAGACCTCAGACTTTCGGAAATTTCGTTTTTTCGAATTTTCATATGAAATATTGCGCATGTAGAGAAATCAACTAGACTAGCTTAAATAAAAAAATTTAGAAGTTTTGTAAAAAGAAAACCTCTTCGATATATGAAGCTTTCAAAAAATATATGTAGTATTCATCGCGTATACAACAAAGGTTCTATCTTAAAAGGTTCACATTTAGGAAAGATTTCGTTCGAAACTTCTGATTTTTTTATGTAAGCTAGTCTAGTTGATTTCTCTATATGCGCAGTGTTTTAGATCAAAATTTGATAGTTTATCGAAATGTCAATAGGAATCCAAATCTTTTTAGGATTTTTCTTAGATTTGAAATCAGCAGGGAGTTTCTGACGAGGTTTCTTCGTTACTCTAATTTTAATGGGCAAACCAGGTCATTTTTACTTGAAATATGAAGTACAAGATATAAAATAAGTTTTCAAGGTTTTATTTCCGATTATATTTAATATAATAGTAAACTTATGAAAATCAAGCAAAATGTTTTCTACCGATATGTCTTATAGATAATATAATTCACGACGATCACTTCACACTCTATGATTGTTGTTTTTCAAATGAAAACTCAAATACGATAGTTAATTTTTCAATTAAAACAACACACTTCAAATGTTATCTTATTAAACTGATTTGTACAATTGACAAGATTTATTTTTTCTTTTTGATTGATTGAAAACAAAATGAATATCTTACATTGATTGTCTATCGAGTGATTTTGAACGTAACAATTCCCAACGATGATTAAGAGTTTTCATTTGTTCTTTTATTTCATTTTCTTCTCCTGGTTGCATATTCATTTTATGTGATTTTAAGAAATGATTTCCTTCATGAAGTATATCACCGATTTGATTTTGATCTTTTGTTAAACTAATCATAAATTCCTATAATAAACAAACAAACACATCAAACAATAGTAAATCAAAATAATTTAAAGAATAGAGATTTTTGTTTTTACTTCATGATTTTGAAATTGTTCTTTAATAGTTTTTAAATCATTTGACACAGTTTTATCTTGTTTATCAAGTTCATCTTCAAGTTGAAGAATCCATTGAAGTATTCTTTCAATATTTGTTTTGAAATTTTCCAATTCAGTTGCAGCATTTTCTGATAGAGACTAGAAAAAAAAAACAGAATCCTTTTTTTAATCAAAAACCACAATCTTTTCTTTTTTTTTTTTTGATCTTTCAAACCTTAATCTCCGTCGTATCATCACTTGTGATCGTCGTCGTCGATGGCTCATTTTTCTCGTTATCTTCGATAACAATATTACTTGATGGTAATTGTTGAAAGAGGCACATTACATACATTAAAATAGATTTTCTATCCGGATAATCGGAGAGAATATCTTTAAAAAAAAAACAACAAAATGAAATAGTTATAATAATAATATATTTCTAATTTATTTTATTCAAACCTTCAACATCAAGATATCGATCAATTTTGAAAACATTTTTTGCTACACTAAATGCATGTTCAAGATTTCTAGCTGATGCATTTTGTAAAAGATCGTCATAATCAAATAAATCTGGACGAAACTTATGAATTAATGCATTAAAAGCAAGACCATCTTGCCAACTACGTGTAAAATCATTGATTTCTACACCTTTATATCTAAATGAAGAAAAAACAAATTTGAAAATTTATTATGAAGGATAAAAAAAAAACTTTTTTTTCTCGTCTTCTTCTAACCCTTTTGTTTGTTGTTGACACCATGAAAGAAGAAATTTTTCAATATTAGTCTGTCGTGAATCAGGCACAGCAGACTGAATAACGTCTTTTCCTTGCCAATATTGAATAATTGACCATATTAATGCAAGTGTCAATTTTGGATTACCATCAACAATATCATTAGATGATATACCAAGAAGTTTAATCTATGATTAAAAAAATCAGCAATAATTCTATACTATTTAATAATATATATATTTTTTTCTTTCTCACTCCATGTTCATTAAGTACAGCAATAACTTTATTAACATTTCCAATATGATGTACACGCATTTTACCATTTTCTCTTTTCTATACAAAAAGAAAAATTAAAATTAAAAAAATTCTTTTTCTTTATTACATACATATTCATTTCCAGTGAGTACTTCCAATAATCGAAGTAGGACGATACCATCACGTAAATCTTGAAATAAGTCTGTAACAGCTAGTGTTGAACTTGTCTTGAATTATATATATATATATTAAACATATCATATATTATCTATAAGAACTAATAATGAACTTACATTGTCTAATTGATTATTAATCCATTTAGTGAATGCTTTCTTTTGGATATCTTCGCGTTCGTCTACAAAATAACGTCGAGTAGTAACCATTAATAATAAGAAAAAAAACGATACATGGTCAAAAAAAAACCGTTAATGATTTTGTTTCGATGAAAAAGCTTTCAATACGATGAAACAAAAAAAAATGAACGAAAAGATGTGCTGTCAGTAGACAAAGAATGATTTATAGAGTTTAATTTGACGCAGTTCAACATTTTTTTTTTCTCCGTTTAAATATATATAGATAATGATACGCTATTATTTAATGTGTTCGTCTAATGTTTCGATTGAATGATCGAAAATTTCTTTTTATGTAAATATTGTTTGCATTAGAAACATAAATAAATGAGCACGTTGCCCGACAATATATCAAGATTGTTAACTTCAACTGATCAGTCAGTGATAACGACAAAGAAAAATGTACAACTCATCTATCAAATAACAATACATACACATATGTATATATATATATATATTCATATTTTAAAAAGAAAATTATTAAATGTATTTTTTTTTCTCTTTAGTACACAACTCAATTGTATAGTAGGAAAAACACGCAATATCATTTCTTCTTCTTTGTTTCTCTACTACAGACAACTTATCATTATTGAATACATTCAAGTCGATCAACTGTATAGTTATCACTAAACAAAACTATGTGAGTGTTAATTTACTTTTGAATCAAGTACACACTAAAGAATAAGACTAATAGATAAGATAGTTGCTTGTCTGTCTATCATATTCTTCTTTGAAAAACGATAACAGTAATAATGAAAAAAGTCATAAGATGAATTTTATGTACATAAAATATATCAATTTTGACAAAAAAATTTCTCTGATACTCTTAAACAATAGAACAAAAAAAAAAAAAGAAAAAGAAATTTTATATATACAAACTTGTGTCCTCATTCAAATAAAGGCCATTGGCAATATAATAAAATATTTCTTTCTCTTCAATTATATGTTTGTTGATTTGGTCACACATACTTTTCTCAAGTAGATGCTATATGATAATAATTCTAGCCATTGGCAAACTCATACATCTACATATAAACAGATGTTTTTTCGACTTCACAGTAGGAGACGATTGAACTACATTAGTGATCTTATGAAGAGATAGATGCATTGATCAACAAAGATAAAAGAAGTGCTTTCAATAATATCTATCTCTTATGATATATACAATAAAAGCTTGTTTTTTCTTCTGGTCATCATATTATTTCAGATACTATTTGTCTATCTACAATTTTATCAATGAACTTACATGTAAGATCCTCATCAGCAGAACCTAATGGTTCATCCGTGACTGATGAAGACATTGTTAATCGTATAGACAGGTCTTTGTATCTATAAACAAGGATTAGCGTGAAGGTCAAGTGTTCGATGAATTTTAATCAATAAGCTATTGACTGTCCGCCCACTCTCCTTCGCTTTCAAGCATAAAAAGAGGTTGACGACGACGACGATAATAATAATAATAAAAATAACGAAGATAGGATAGTGGTATTACTTTTTGGCTGACGGTTGGTTATCTCTAATACCACAAAGAAGACACTGCATTTTTTTCTCTTTTTCTTCTTCTCTTTCTTTTTCTGTTTTCTTTCGTTATACGTATTTCACCGCAAGCGGCGATACAAAGATCTTGCCCGTTTTAGTGCAATTTTTGTGCTTCTGTCTGTCTCGTCATATATTCCAACAACATCTATCCCTATCTTTTCATCACTCTGTTCTCTCTTTTACGCTTGTCTGAACTGTGTATGTATGTATAAAGAGAACATCGTCTTTTCTTTGGTTATCAAATAAGATGCTACTAATACAACATTATTTCACGTGAGAAACAGTAAGAATAAAGCAATGATAAGAAAGAAAATAGAATGTAAAACAATGAACACGTTGATAGTATGACAAAAGAACTGTCCTTCTTCAAGCCAAGGTTATTATGAGAACAATTATTACGTCCATCATGAAACTACATATAATTGACAATAACACGAGTAAGCGTAGAAATAAGAATCTGTTATGTTCTATCTTTCTAAAAAAAAAAAAAGAAAAGATAAAAATAACTTACATTTTCGGTCACGTATGATCTGTTGAAATTGTTGTGCATCATCTTCATTAACATTACTCGCTAGTGTAGTAGCTGCATCTGGTGAACTATTTCTTTGCGAAGGACTGGTCGACATGATTAAGACAAAAATAAGAAAAAGTTTAAATTATTCTGCTATTGTTGATGTTTGATTATATATATAGTTTTTTAATATGAGTCATCATGTTAACTGTAAAATGATTTTTATTTTGTTGTCCTGTTTCTGCACCCACACCTGTAATAGAAAAAAAAAAATGAATGTTATAAGATTGCCATAAGTATTATTCATAAGTTTAAAGGAGGCGAACATAAAACATTCTGTCAAATGATTCAAAGGACTCGAAAATAAAACTAAATGAATAAAAAGAAGAGGAAAAAAATAAAGTCTTTTTTAATTTGTATTTAAAACGAAATTAAAGATTAATCAATACGAATTTTGATCTTTTTTCTGTAGATTTCTCAACCTTGAACATAAAAATATATTTGAAATTAGTATAGATCTTTTTCTCTTTATCAATATAAAATATTTATGTTTGTGAAAATAAAAAACAAACAACTTATATATTATGATTATCCTTGAGATCAAGACAGTTTTTTTTTGCATTATCGTATATAAATAGCCAAATACTTGGTATCGATTAAGGAATATTTGAGAAAATATGCAAAGAATTCCAAATTGATTTACTCAATATAAGTATAATAGAACGAAATCTTTTTTTTTTAATGACTTGCTTTAAATTCGTATCGGTAATCTCATTCTTCGCAGATGCAAATTATTTTTATCTTTGATCTTTTTCATTTGAAAAGAAAAGAAAAGCTACTATTCTTTTCAATTTTTGAAGCATGTCACCACATGGAGTCGTACGTTAATTTCACAAGTTTACAACAAATATTAATAATTAAAGACTACTACTATTTCAACAATCATTAACGATAGTTATATGTCAGGTCTTTCTCTCTCTCTCTCTCTCTCTCTCTATTTCCCTTGCTTTCTTTGTGCTGTTCATATTTCGCATGCACAATCAATCGTTCTCGCCCTGCACAGGCATACAATTGGTATTTGCGATCAAGCGTTAAGCTTTTTTTAAAACACGTACGCCTATCCTTTCGTACTCTCATCTTCATTTGCGTAACCGTTCGATCGTTGATTCGAAATGTACATATAAGTTCTTGAACTACGAATAACAACATAGCTAAAATCACCGGCAATAGACGATAAAAGAAAAAAAACGAAGAAGATTGAAGAGTGCAGTATGATGTAACAATATGTATAAGTGCAAATTGCAGCTTCGTAATCTCTCTTAAGGGTGGACGCGCGCATACGCTCACACATAAAAATTTTTTTTTCTTTGTTTCTTTTTTCAATATTTTCATTTTGTGCCTTTAGGCAATACATAAGCTATGTGTATGGTGTCTCGCGTTATTCAAGAGGCTATCAAACGAGATAGCGCTAATAAGAAGCAAAACTATGAATATATATTAAGTAAAAAGAAAACGAAAAAAAAAATGAAATATCTGATACACATCAACATTATATGAATGAAATGTGAGAAGAGGTGGAGTTGGGCGGAACTTTATACAAAAAATGAAATATGATCGTCGAAAAACGAATAAGAAGAAGAAAAAAAATTAAACATCATTCAGTATAATTAAAATTTCAAGATATATCTGAAGAATGTTTGTCAATGAGAACTTATAAATTATTAAACAAAACATAAAAAATAGAGTATCCTTGAACATTGATTGTGAATATGTCATTGTCACAAAGAAAAAAAAATAAAGTCTACACGCACATACAAGTTCTCCAATAGATGATCATAAGCTATTTGTTGATTCCCCTTGAAAATAAAAATAGATCAAAATGCAACGAAAAAATCTCAATCTATAAAACAAAACAAAAAAAATGATCACCATTATTGACACCTGTTGCCCTTCTCTATATCATTTGTGAAATATCTTAAATATAAACTTCTCGCATATTATAAAGTAATCATTGATTTATAAGGATCAAGGAAAATAAAATAATAACAATAAATTTTTTAACGTACCTATTCAAATGTATATATATATATATATGTCTAGATGATGAATGCAAACAATGACCCGGAGATTTTTTTTACGCTATTCTCTGTCAAGCAAACACGTGTATTTGTACTCTCTTCTCTCGTTTTTTTCCTTCGGAGAAGGACAAAGAAAAAATAACTGCGCAATGAAAAAAGCAACGTTGCCACTGCCGTCAAATGCGCTTTAGAATTGACTGAAAAAATTTTTCTTTTTACTTCTTTCCATATTCTCTTTCCTGTTCCTTCGTTCTTTTATGTTCTGTTTTTTGGCATTTTCATCTATTCATTCACTTATTTCTCTTCCTTCTTTTCGGCTGTTCGAGTGTCGTGCATATGTGTTACTATATAGTAAAAAAAAAAAAAAAAAAAAAAAGGAAAAAAAGAAGAAGGATCAATGCTTGAGGTAGCCGCCTCTTCTTTCTCCATGTCTCATTCGATCGTAAACTAAAGTTTGAACGCGATATGAGAAGTGATACAAATCACGGTCGACAAACGAAAAGATGATGTTCGTTCACACTAGTGTATGCATAGAAGATGACAATTAAATAGGGCTCAATCTCAATCTGTCTGTCATACTTTTCCCTTCTTATTATTATTGTTGAGACAGTCACAACGTTTGTGTATAATGATACATGAAAAGCAATCAAGTTGAGCTATGTGATCGCAGGTCAAATGTAATGTTATAAGAATGCTTCTATAAATATATATATATATATATGTATGTGTATGATCATTGAGGAAGTTTTATTTGAGACTATCTATGCTATTATATTGTTAAGGTAATATAATTATCGATTTGTATGATCTAAAAGCAAGATCATTGAATAGATTAGCTGAAGTGAATTTGTTTAGAATATGAAATGTTCAATTGATGAGAAAACAAAAGATGAATGAATTATGGAGCTGTACTATGTTTTTATTTTGATTAAATTTAGATACAAAATTTTTGTGTTAGTTACTTGAAACTACTGTTTTATTCGAAATTCGAACTGAGTTTATTATGTATAATGTATATAAATAAAAAATGAAAAATAAAGAAAAACTTGATCAAAAACGATTTGAAAAAGAAAATTTTTTCCGTCAAAATAAAAAAACAATTCCTCTAATTCAAGGATTTTCTTACAAACAGTTTACATGTCTAGTATAATTTAATTCAAATAAGTGAAAAATCTTGAATTTACGTTTGTTTTTTAAGTGCAACTTTATTAATCTTTTTCAAGAAAAAACATTAAATTCTTTTTAAAAATCATTTCAATATGCACCAGTCCTATTTTTCTATTATTTAGCCATAAGATAAAATTCGACTTTTTCTTATTCATAGACTGATAGAAGATCATCATTAAATAATAGTTAAGGATAAATTCATATATCATACACAGAAATGATTAACTATACATTGAATATAGGTTATACTTATATATCTTGTTTTTAATTTATTCAGACTTTTTTTTTTGTTTATATTAAAAGTTTTGAAGATATCCCCGTTAGCAATTTATTGTATCAATTCATTCAAGTACTATGATTTTTAACCGTAACTATATACTTTCATTCAAACGTTCCTGCATATTTTAACTTGAAATTTACCATAGGGCTATATATTATTTATTGTTTATATTTAAGATTCAATAGTATATCAACATAAAACTGTCAGCTGTTGTTTTCTTTTATTTATGATTGATCAAATATATAATGTCAAATAAGTTTAATAATATTTACGAATGATAAATAAATGATTATTGATAAGAACTTATATTTATTAAAAATCAAATTGATGAAAAATTATTACATAAGAATCACATTTTCCAATATGAAAATTAAAACATTAAAGAATTGCTTTGATAAATATTATCATAAAAAGAGAAATATTAGGAAATCATTTTTGTCAGGTCCTTCAATTATAACATCATTTAGAAATAAAAATCAATATATAATTATAGAATATAGCACGTTTCAATAACGATTTTTATCAAAATTTTACTTTTACAGATGCATTTATCGGACGTCACTATTTACAAATTCTATAGATTGATGAGACGATCTATAAGTATAAATTAAAGCATATAACTTCTAAGTAGTTAATTTTCATATTTATTAAACATACAAATATTGAATAAGCTCTACATCTAAGTACGGAGAACAAAATCAAATAATTGTCAAATAGCCATTTGTGCTAATGTTTCTATGTTAATATCTTTATTGATCGATATTGTTGCAATGGAACTTAGTCTCAGACTTGACATTAGTCTAACACAAGGTCTAATTGTTCATCTGGTTTATCATTGTCAACAATCAATTTTGTTTATGATTGTTCAGTCATAAAAACTAACATTTTCATCATCAAAAATGATTAATGATTATATTGCAGTAGCACATTCATGGCCTCGAATAGTTACATAGTACTATAACAATGTTGTGCATTATGATGGTTTCCATGAAGAATCCTAACAAACTATTATTAGCACAACTCAATATGTTAATGGTTATACAAAAAGTTCTATTTGAATTGATGAGGATTTACAAAAATTTTCATCTTGTACAGATTTCGTAATATTTCTAAAATGATAAATTCATCACCATTATCTTAAACAATAAAGTAACAAAACTATCAATTATTCCAAAATAAATTTGTCATTAGTCGGATAGTAATACACGAAAGAAAATTATAATTAACTTTTACCCGTAATTCATATTCAAGGTTCATTATTATATTCATTTACATTGAATAGTCAATTTAACGCTGGTTATGGTACATTAAATACCTAGCGAGGTGATCGTATAATGATGAATTGATGACTCGCGTACAAATAATTTATGAGTATGGAAAGTATTATAAATATAGTTATTATTATACTTGAGTTTCTTAACATCAATCATTTATAAATAAACAATTCTATTAACAGTTTCTTGAAACAAAAACAAAAAGAAAACTTATTTCTTTGAATGATATTGTATGATTCAAATGATTGTTCTTCAACTAAATTAACTATGCTACTCGACATGTTTCACTTGTTTAAAAAATCATTAAGGAAATTTTTATGTCACATAATTATTTAGAAGACGGGAAAAAAAGAAGTTAATTGCCAAAATAATGACTTTTTTTTTTGTTAGATAGAAGGTTTTCACATAAAGAAAAATTATTGTATGTAGTTTCTTGTTTAATTACTAGAATAATAAGAAGAAAAAAAAACTGTAGATTTGGCACTGACAAGACGTAGCAGCATGCTTAGGTTATATCTTTATAATTCAATAAAACACAAAAAAAAAAGGTTGTGACATTTTTGTCTATAAAAGAAGGATTTTACATGTTGATAAAGAGAACTCAATGCAATACTTACATAAAAAACATTTGATGTCCTGTGAAATGTTGTAAATCTGTAGACACAAAATGCGACGATGAAAAATATTATTATGTATTCTTACCATAGCTTAGCCTGTTGTTTTTGATGGATAATGCCATAAAACAACTAAATATTACTATATCGTGACCTTTTCTTCTCTAATTATATTTAAATGGAAACATTTCTGGCATTTTTTTTCCTCGCCTTCTCTAATCTCAATAACTATTCGAGTTATATCACAATTGTATAATAAATATGTCCAACGATAATCTATTCGTTTTTTCTCATATTATAGATGTCATTCAAGTTTAGAGAAATAACAGTAACATTAAATAAATATAGTTGTTCATATAGATAGTCATTTTATTTAAAGGAGCTAATAGAATTTGTTGTAATTTCCCATTTACTAATTCCACATGTTCTAATAACAAGTAAAATTATGTTTACACAACACGAACATGAAATATAATTTCATGTTAAAATACACATACAAATGTAATATGATTTATAACACAAGTAGCGACATCCATGATATAGCTAGTTTATATGTTAATATTGCTTCTACAGTTGTGATATAGATAATAATTCGATATTAGAACTTAATGAACAGACAATTCTTGCAAGTTGAAATGAAATATTATTAGACTCTTTAGAATTAACTACACTTCAACAAGCTATTGTTCAAGTTCAAAATCAATTTATTTATGATGATATATTAACAATATAATGATCTTGATTTTCTTCCACCAATTAGGCTGTCATCATGATTACGAAGATTCTTTTTATCATGAGCACAAACCATGAATAGACATATTTTTTAAGCGTAAATGACAGTAGTTCAGATTACTATCTGATTGAAATTTATATCTGAGTCAATCGCTCTAGTGCATTTATTTCTCATGTCGCGCAGTGACACATATGAAATATTTAGTTTAATGATAATTATATTATTGATTTATTATTGTTTGCTTTCTTTTTTTTCATAAGAACATTTATAAGTGGTTTTATTCAATATTTGAGGTGTTGAAGTTTATTGTTAATAAATACAATTGTAATATATACAAACACTAAAGTCTAAGTGTTTTGTATTCAATATGTTTAATAATTATGCAGAATTTTTATTCGTAATATTTAATGATGAGGCACATAACATGAATCAAATAAATATATAGGTCGCTGTTAAATACATTGATTTCTCAAATATCCATGCCGAGAAAAATCAGATTTTATCGTAATTATGACACAAAAAAAAAGAAAAGGATTTTTCGAGAATCGATAATAAATTGAATTTAATCACTGATTTTAGTAACTGATTGTGGATCGGCAATTACTTAGAGAAATATTTCAAATCTGTAAAATTGAAAGGCAAATATAATATCTATACATATTTTACATATAATTATTGAAATATGAGATCATAAGAAAGAATGTAATTTCGACATGGATGTCATTACTATGACATTAGATAATTTTTAGAAAATGATTCCCATTCACAAAAAAAAGCATGTCTTTGATTAATATTGATAATTTCAGGTATGTTCTTGGATTAGGCAATTTTTCAATTAGAACTTTTCTATTTTTAGATGAATCCTTCAATCGTAAATTAAGATAAAGTTATAAAACTTGCTTTTTGTCTTAAAGATGAATTTTTCTATCGTCAAACTTTTAGTCTTGCTTTTTAATTTTGTATTTCTACTCTTTCGCTTGTTTTTAGGTATTTAATTTATTAAGAAACAAACTTATATTCGTGGTATGGCTCAAAAAAAAAAATACAAATCCAATTCGAAACATCTATTGGAACATATGAACGTTTTTCTTTCAATGGTATTCTCATTTGACTATGTGTAATTGCATGTCGCATCGGTTTTTTTTTTTAAATTTTTATTACATGTTTTATTTATGTAGAATAAAGTATAAGCAGTATATTTTTTGAATAAAAATATTCGTTATCTCAAAAAAGTAAGAAGAACTTCGTTGTATAACAGTAGACGTCACCAAGATCACATGAATGAAATAATGTTTATTATCGATATAATGAAGAGTAATTATTGATTATAAAACTACAAATTATCACATATTTCATCAGAATCGTCGAAAAACAAAATTGTCGATTTATTGCATTTCACTTCATGATTATCATTTCGATATATCACGATAAATTGCCAATTTTTCAGCAATTTTGAGGACATGGGCATATTCATAAAGTTATTTTCTCATTAAGATCTTGTTTTCGATTATATCGAACTTAACAAGTCACACTAATGTCATACTACACATATCTTTCATTAGAAATACTTAATTTTTACATGATTGTACTAGTTTTTGGAAAAATTGAAAACAAGTTGATATTAACGATGAGTTTATTTTAACATATCACGAGATCGTTGTATGGTATCTTTATTTTATTCGTGTCCATATTTTACCGTTTATTTTAAATGTCACGTAAATACACCTTGATAAATATATATCCTCTAACATTTCGTGTTCTACATTATAAATCATTCGTCGATGAATATCTTACTCTTTTGTCTATTTATTTTACTTAGTGTTTCACAGTACGAATGCGAAACACCATCATGCAAGTTTGTATTTACTCATTTAATTAGGCATATCTTTTTTTTTCAACTGAGACCTTTTTGTTTTTTAAGAACGAATTGCACAACAATCGAAGAATGTTGGCGTGAAGCTTTAGCTTACCGTTCATCAGAATTAATTGAACAATTATTTTCATTTAGTAGTCTTTCTGTTTATGTCGATACATTTCAACGACATCATTCCAATGAAGTTTGTATTAAATTTCTTGTTTCTTTTTCTTCTTCTTACATAAAAATATGCGATTATTGACATAGCTAAATGACAGTATATTATTTGTTGACAAAGCACTTGAAAATCATTTATCAAATGAATCAATCGATGGTGACCTAAATATAAATTTATTTAGAACAACAAAACAACTACTTATTGATTTAGTAAGATAAATATACTTTTAGTAAGATAATTACTTTAATTTTTTTTTTCGTAGTGTACAAATTTAACATCAAATCCAATTGAAACAGTTGAGGACCTTCCAACATTAACGTGTTCATTATCAACATGTTCTACGGATTTAACAAATTTTATGGTACTTTTAATAATTAGTATAATCATTGCTAGTTTAGTTCTTCTTATTTGTATTGTTCAATCTTTTCAAACATATCGTCGAACACGTCCTCCAAAAATAATTCCACAAAATCGTCAAAGCACATATTCGTTGTCAATTAATAATTCATCTCGTAATTTGAACTCTTCTAATGTATTTTAACTATAAACAAACGAAAATGAAATAGTTTAATATTTTAATCACTAATTTTAAATTAAAAAAAAATTGTTTTTTTTTTTTGTTTTTTTTGAATTTTAGATTTAAAAAATGCATTGGAATATCGGAGTGATTTCGATATTTCTTTGTACTATAATAATTGTTTTTGGACGTCGAGATTTATTTGAAAAAAAATGCAAGTAAGAAATCATTTCAAAGATTATTTTTCCGCTCTATTTACCAATTACTATAAGACGAAAATGTGATACTGCTGGAGGTTCACTCGAATGCTGGAAAGAAACAACAGACGGTTTTGCTTATGGTTTATCTACAGCTATGATTGATTTTTGTCAAGTAATAATTAAAATTCGTCACCTTAAAAATGAAACAGTTAATTATATTTTTCTTATGTTTCTTTGAATGAAGGGTGTCTTTTTTTGTTGACATAAAGGAAACTTGGTATAATATTAGTCGTGAAATACTCGCAGAACAAATTGAAAAATATGAACTTGATGAAGAAGTTCAACAACTAACAAAAGAAAATATCGAACAAATTGCAATGTCTCTATTAGATAATGTAAGTACTTGTCACTCCTAATATATAATTATGCCATTATTGTCATTAGTGTTTTTATGCTTCATCATCTATTACTTCCCTTGAACCATCATGTCCATCATGTTCAGAAGCACAAACAAAACTAATGAAACAATGGGGTATTGCATCAATAATTCTTATCTCAATTGGTTTATTACTTGTTTTTATTGTTTTAATTTTATTTGCTTTCTATATTTATTATACTCGTCGCTCATATATATCAATTAAATAATGAATAATTCTTATCTTGATTGTCTAAAAGCTTTTGTTTTTGTTTCTTGAAAAAAAAAAATATCTTCATTGTTTTCAATGGAAATCAAAAAAAGAAAAACCCAAAGTCCATAAATGGCATTTGTTGTTTTTTTTTCTTCTTGGCAAAAAAATAGAGCGCAAGTAAAAGGGCACGAAAAAAAGAAAAAGAAAATTATGAAGTAAAGAAAACAAAAAAAAGAAAAAATGAATAAGATGGGACAAGAGAAAAGAAGAAATTTGTTGAATATGTAGGAGAAGAAGAATAAAAGCATTTTTATAGATTTCCTTCTGCTATTCACATTCAAAATTAGGTACAACAGCATCTTCTTTTATTGTCATTTCATTATTATTATTATTATTATTATTATTCATACTACTATTATTATTATTTAATACAAGTAAATCTTCATTAATTATTGAATTTGTACTTGATGCATTCATTGATATTGTTGATGCACTTCTATCACCACCAAACCAAACATGTCCAAGTATATCTTGAGTTAAAAGACGTTCTTCGGGTTTCACACGAATTAATGATCGAAGTAATGAACGTGCTTTTAATGATATTGTACGAGGAATATCAGGACGACATCGACCAATTTTAATAAATAAACCAACTAATGTTCGATCACAAAATGGATAACGACCAAATAGCATTGTATATAAAATAATGCCTAAAATTAAGGATTTAATTTTGTTATTTACACAATAATAGAAAAAGAAACGGAATTATTAAGAGTACCTAAACTCCATGAATCAGCCATTTTGCCTGAATACATTTGTCTATTAAGAACTATTTCTGGACATGCATAAACAGGACATGAAAAACGTGACGATACAAAATCATCTGTTGTTGTTGGAGTTGATAACATAATTGATTCATCAATTCCAGTTAATAATAAATGTGTATTTGTATTATCATTAAATATAATTTTACGTAATTTTAAATCACGTACAATTAAACCAACACGATGACATATTTGTACTGCACGTACAATTTGAGAAAATAAATTTCGTGATTCATTTTCATTTAAACGATGTTTTTCAGTTATATATTGATGAAGATTATTTGTATAATTTGGATATAAAACAATAGCTGTACGATCAAGTGGTATAATATCACGAAAAAAATGTATATGATATTTATTAGCTAATTGTTCAGTAGTTAATTGTGAATTTTTATTTGATAATTGTAATATTGTTATAAGACGTTGATAAGGCTCTAATCGTTGACGAACAATTTCAAGTGAAAATTCTTTATATAGTAATGCTTCACCAGTTGGAATATGACGAGCACATTTAAAATCATCTAATTTTGTTTCACTTAATTCATATTCACCGATAGTACGTACTGAAGGTAATAATGGGAAATTTGTTGTAGCTAAGGCAGCAAATGGATTAAGAAGATGAATAGCATCTGGTGTAAGAGGACCCGATGGATCAGTTGATTGTGGAAATGGAGTTGATGGATTGGAATTTATTGGAGATGAGGATATTTGCGTTAACAAACGAAGATCACCATGTTTAGCAGACGATGAATGATGTGACGTTTGAGACGGAGAAGAAGAAGCAGAAGAAGAAGACATTTTATATGGAGAATTTTGAACGAACAAAAAAAAATAAAGTAAAAGCAAACGACAAAGTAAAGAGAGTTAATAAAAAATAAATAAAAGATGATTAGAATTGTCCACTAATATCTGACGTCGGTATCGGTGAAAGTTCAGTTGCAGCATTACTAGAATTAAAAAGAAACAAGATATTACCTAATTACTTTGACTAGCTAAGTTTACAAATAAACATAACATATTGAGAAGAAGAAAGAAAGAACAAGGAAGAAAGGAAGGTATTGTTGCGAAATCAAACCACTATTGCGCAAGTCACCGCCAAGTCCGGGGTATGGTTGCTCAATCGTTAGCTAAAGTTAGGGATGATGGCTTACGCAACTCTTTTCTTTTTTTTTTTTCTGGTTCAACTCATGTAACAAGAAAGGAATTTACTTTGTTCGTTCATTATCAAACAGAAACTTATTCAAGGACATAAAAAAAAAGAAATTTCATCAAATGAATTTCTTTCAATTCTTTATAAAATAATTTTTATAAAATTCTAATCATTCTTTGAATCTATGTAACTGTGTTGTTCAATCGAGAAAAAAGAAAATGTAAGACTCACATACAAATTTTGACAATGCCTTTTGTCTATCCAATAAGAAGATTATTTAGTTGATTACGTTTATCTTAGTTGTTTTTCCGTTGGCACACATCTGTTGGTGGCAGTATGTATGTCCATGACCTTCCATTCGTACATCAAGTCGGCAAGGACATTGTCTCGTTCATTTCTTTGCTTTTTTTTTTCTTCTTTGTCAATGTTTGATTGGCATTAAACATTTGCACTTTATGAAGAGAATCTACTTGTTACTCATAGATCTTATATCAAGTACTCGATGAAGATAAAACATATTGAGTTTAATTAGAACGAAGAAATGGAATAGAAAAGTTCTGTACTAAGAGAGCAACATGACCTTACCCATTTTCAATCTCGTTTGTATTTACAAATATTCCAGAGCCACAAAGTTGAGTTGCATAAAAACCATAAGATAAAACCGATTTAGCCAAAGATCCAGAAAGTTTTGAAGAGCCGGTAGAATGTTTAGATATATTACATGCCATTTTTACAACGTATTAATAATATCAAAATAAAAATTTAATTTAAATTTTCTGCTATATGTGTTTACGTCAGCAAATTTTGCAAACTAGATTTTTCTTTTATTAACGACTATTGTTTTCTATGTAATGTCTTCTCTTTTTTTGTAATGTGCGCGTGTATAGACTAGAAAGCGAGAAAGAATGAATTTATATAGCGAGTCTATGGCGTCGTTCTCTTTTTTTATATTCGTTCTACAAAGGAAGAAAAAGAAACCACTACGATCAACGCTAGATTGACACGCAACATTAATAGCGAACCTCTTTTTCCTTCTCATGTTACCCTTCTCCGCCTTTTTTTTTCTACCCATTTTTCTTTTTTTCTCTGTCTCTTTTTCTCTCTCTCGCGAAGTTTTAAACATTGCAGCAAATAATGACGACACCAAGCGTCATCGTCATTTTACCCATTTACCAACGACGAAATCATCAACAACAACAACAACATAAAGGGAAAATGCACACTGAAACACGTGCAGAAAGCAAAGAAAACAGTATGACGACATGTCAAATAATTTTTAAGATTCAGCAGATTGTGTTTAGGAAATGAGAACGATGCAGCGTTGCCTACACAAACATGAGTCATTATAAAAAAGTCATGATAAAGCATTTTTTTCCCACATTTTCATGTTTAGTTTTGCTAGTGGAACAAATCATATTTTATCAAAAGTATGAGCAAATTTCATCATCTGTTACTTTGTTTTTCTTTTCTTCTTCGAGTTAAAATGAGTAATTTCAAGCATAGATGTCATCCATTGAGATATGATCATGGTCATTATTTTGGACATTGTCCAGAAAGTTATCTATGATATTTTTATACAACAAACGTTTGCATATCACTTTATGTAGACTATGTTCTCATTAAGTAATCTTAGTAAGATTAGTCAGCAACATTATGTTATCTTGATTTTGATTATACTTCTTCAAAGAAGAAGGCACTCACATATGAACATGTTAAGTAACTGGGTCTAGTACGATGATATAACAGAGACACACATGCACACACGCTTCGATCATTTTCAATGGATTTCAAAGAAAGAAATTCATCTTGTTCCCATACGTCATCTCGTCCTCTTTTTTCTCCATCTCTCTCTCTCTCTCTCTCTTTTATTTTACATAATCATCAGAAGGAAAATGTTGTAACAACATACGTCTTTACTGTAGTTTAGTGACTAGTACGGCGATTATTAGCATTTGACTAGTGGTAGCTTGATCTAGGCATAGCACATTTTATGTAACTCTTCTTACACTACCATCTTCTTTACAATAGACATTAGAATCGAAAGTATACTAAATGAGCGATCCATCGTTATCGATTACGCAATTTGTAAGGAACTATAATTATATTACGAAATAGAATGAATGTAAAAAAAAAAAAAGTCAAACATCCACACAAGACAAGCACTTGCCACTGCTAAATGGACGCGGCGACGTGATTTACGTAACTGACTACGGTTATGTAAAGAGGGAAAAGAGAGAAAAAGACGACGTCGTCATCAAGGACAAGGCCATCAGTTCATGATCATATTCTTTCGTTCTATAGGTAATAACGGAAATAAAATGTTTATTCTTAAACAGCAATATGATTACGAAGTTCTATGAGCAAAAAAAGGAAAGAGATTATATTTGACGTATTCATGCTAAAGGTTATTGATAAAGATCAATATTGATAAAAGCCTAAAATAATTGTAATGATTCAAAGAAAAATGTAACCATTAAATTATGATGATTGTAGCGAAATCAACAAACACACTTAGTCAATTGTTTATTCATGAATCATCTACTAACTTTAGATTTTAAAACTATTTTAATGATTATTAATTTTTCGAATGAATCGTTGAAGGTATTTTATTAATTGGAAATAAAAAAATCCCATAATCATATGAATGAATCATTCGAGTCTTACACAATTCAACTATTGACTATGATTGGTTTGTTCTGTCTATTGATTCATTATTTTTACGAAATTATATAAGAAAATAAAACAAAATACCTCGAAAGGACAAAGTATAAATTTCGCAATTATTTAGGGTACAACGAATCATATTTACCCCTCTAATCTTATTTCATAAGATAATAATATCAAATCAAGAAAATAAATTTTTATATATCCGAAAATAAAAATGTGTATAGGGAGATTTGTGTTCTAGTCAACAAAAAATGAAAAGCCTTATTTCCCTACTTGCTTGATTTCGTTAACATAAATAGGAAACTTCCAAACATAATGTTTTTTTCACCTATGCGAAGACTTGTAATTTATTAAGCGCTTTGTACGAACAACAAGAAATAACTGTATATTGACATTTTTTTTTTCTGATAGTAATCAATAAACGAGTAAAACCTTGATCCTTCACTTGTTCATGTATACAAACAGTACCAGATGTTGATGAAAAAAAACTCGTCCCTGGATTTATGTGATTCATAAGTGTTCTTTTGAATTTTTTAATAATAACATATGTTTTTATTGTTTTCTTTTCTTTTTCAATCATAATTTCTGTTTTCATGTGAACGAGGTTCTACAAAAAACACATTCCTTTATCTTCTCAATTGACAACAAATTGTGTATATGATGATAAAAAGAAGATACATTAACAAAAAGAGACAAAAAAAAAAAACATTCGCTGATTTATTTCATAAAGAATGCTCAATCATAATCACCTAGAATATAAAGAAGACAAAAATATTATTAAGTTTTATTGTTTTTGTAATTGCAATCGACTTACTATAATCGATTGGTTCAGCATCTTCATCAACATTTAAATTTTGTAAATCAACTTTATAACGAAGAATACCTCCAACACCACCAAAACCTCGAACAAATTGCGAACCTTCTTGACTTTTATCAGTAACGATTTCAAGAGTTGTACCTTTAATAAAATGTTTTTTTAAAAAAAAAAAGTTTTTTTTTTTATTTTTTTTTATTTACCAAAATTTTTATAATTATTTGCAAACCATTCAAGTAAAGGCATTTCTTCGACATGTTCTAATTCAACACCTGTATCTTTATCTTGAAAATGTGATTTTTCTTTTTCTTGATCGGCACGTAAAAATAAAACTTTTGTTTCTTGTGTTTGAGGATTACGTAAAACATAACGCATAACATCAAAATTTTCCCAGACAATTAAAATTTCAACAGCACCCATTTCAAGAGCTTTAAGAGTTTCTTCAATACCGAAACAATATTGGCCAGAATCTCTTGATACTTCATCAAAATATCGAGCTTCAAAAAAAAAAACAACGAATTATTTAAATGTCTTTGTTCTTTTTCTTTTATATATATTTACAAATAAGTTTTTTTTCCTGAATAAATTTAACATCACCAAGCGTTTCAGCAGCTAATTCAATAGCTTGATTAAAACCATTTTCACCACCATATGATACATCAACTCGTTTTAATACTTTAACTTGAAGACGCTTAAAGAAAGGAAAAAAACTCATTTCTGAAAGAATATATATGTTTATTTAATCTTACTGGATCAAACATATCAGATTGATGAAGTTCTGTTTTAAAATCAGCTAAACCAGCAAGAATTATTCCAGAAACATTTACTTTATCATCTGTTATAAAACATTGTACAGCTGTTTCAGCTACTTTTCGTACATAATTATGTCGTTTTTCCATACGAAGTCGCGCAAATCGTAGTGCACTTTGACCACCACGACCATGTTTTTTTGGTAAATCAACAGAAAATTTTGTTATAACTTCTCGAGAATTACCTTGTAAAGTACCGAATAAAGCACCATTACCATCCATAACAATAAATCCGAAACGAGAATCATCAGCAAGTAATGCTTGTAATGCCTAAAAAAAAATAACAAATTTGTTTTTGGAAAAATAAAACATTTCTCATGTTTATTATTCAATCTGTAAACATGATCATGTTTTTATTGAAGTCAAATCTAATAATCTGCAGGATTATAAATGCAATCAATTATAGATTTTTGAAACATTGAAGAGTTTCCTCTTGAGCAGTGATGAAGATATTTTTTCTTTCCTACTAACAATTTGAGATGAGTGTCACAATACAAATAGATATGTGCGCTAACAATTTTAGTTCGGGTCCCGGGCACCAAGACCGAAGATACGAGAAAAATTTGTCCCCAGGAGAACTACAAATTATATTTAGATACTCTATGGCTCTAAGCGAATTATCAATCAAAACATAATTATCCAAAAAAAGAACAAGTCGTGGACTAAAAAATTAGAAAAAAAACAAGTATTCAAGAATTTTTTGTCGATTTGTTACGAATTAAGTCTGAAATAGTTCTCTCCAGATGGGGATCAAGAAATCTTGGTCGTGCAAATCTTTAGTTACAACTGAATTAAGGTTTATCATATATGATAAATAAAATAAATATTCAGAATTTTCTGTTCTAGACAATCGCTGACGGTAGTATGTCGATTGATAAAACAACTTAAAGTTTGATGAAATGTTCTCGTTAGAAATTTTCAATAGTAAAACAAATGATATATCTGATCGTTTGAATTAGTTCCAGGAGTTGCTCAGATTAAAAAATTAATGAAACGTAACAAAAAGTCTTTAATCTGAAATTTTTTGTAACTGTCCACAGTTCGAAGTTTTTCTTCTTTTATTCGTCTTTTTTTTTTGCTATGTTTGGATAGAGCGTATCGATTTACCTATGGCAATCTTGTTTATGTGATAAAACATGCAGAAGTTAGGTTAAAAAAACGGAAATACGGCAAAGGTATCGAATTTCGGTAATTTCAATATTTATTCGATATTTTATTTCATTTTACTCGGATGACGTTTGAAAAGTATTGTTGAGAAAATCAATTTTTTTATACGATTACATAACAAAACACGCCATAAATAAGAGTTCTTATTCAGAGATATTGTCTATCAGAAATTCGCTTCGCAATGAAACGAACATCATATTCAAAATCAGTAAATAAATCTGTAAATACTGAAGACAAATTTTCGTCAGATTTTGCCCTTAGGAGAACCACAAGTAATATTATTCGATAAAAACAGTAAAGGGATGTAAGGACCAAAATTTGTTTTAAGTATTGAGTATATGAATCAATGCAAATTTATGTATTGATTTTGAATATTTGTTTTTTTTGTTCGTGACCAAATTTCTGACGACAAAAATCTATGCATAGAAACTCTTATTGATGAGGTTTTGCTAATAAATCACAAATAATCGAACCATGCCTTTCAAAAATCATCCGAGTAAAATAAAAAACTGACGTCAGAAGAATCTTGAAGTTATCGGGACTTGATGCTTTTGGCGTACTTAAGTTTTCTTAAGCTTTTCACAAGTAAACCGACGAGCTCTATTTAATGATGGCAAAAAAAATTTCGTTCAAATTTCGAATTGTCGGCGTCTTATAGAATTACGGTTTTCATACCAATACTCGACAAATTTCATTAACGTTTCAAAAACCAATTTATGTAATATAATGAATAGATTTCTTTAATTGATTAGTTATAAGATCTTCTCTCACTCTGACAATTCTTCATCTATCATCATTAATACATACCTCAGTATGAAATTTATTGTCACAAAGATAAAGTGAAGTGTTAATCGGTTTGAAAGGTTCGAAATCGATGTTGACCTTTTTTTCTTTACCATCCTCTGTCACTATTGTACCACAATAAATAACAAGTCCATTATTAGGTACTTGAAAGAAAAATACATATTCAGATAAAATGCTATTTATTTTGATGCTTCGACATGACACGCACACTTCCTCGCTCTATGCTATGCGTTATTGTATGACGTGTATGTGCGTGTCGTGTAGAAGAATCTTTATTCTAATAATACCTTTATTATAAAGTTTGAGTCGAGCTTGTACAGACGTAATAGCAGAAAGAACAGATAATCTATTAACACGTGATTTTATATTCGATGCTGTACCATATTCATCTGCAAGCATTTTTGCTATACGTGGTACTTGATCACGAGGTGGAGTAATCAATGAAATCATACTTGTGCCATTCCTATGAAAGAATAAATAACATCAATAAATAAAAAGATAAATCATGTTTTCATACCCTCTAGCTGCTTCCAAGCTTTTGATTAATTTTTTAATTTTCCAAATTTCAACATTTTTATCTGATGTTTCTTGTGGTTGTTCAGCCATGGAGTCAAATTTATCAACACCGGGATAGTGAAAGTAATCGCAGAATTAATTGGAAATGTAAATGCACACACACACAAACAGATTTCAAAGGAACGAGAAAAAAAAAGATTTATTTTTTTTGTCTATTTGAGCAAAGGAACGAAAAATTATGATGATCGTTTGAGAAATAATTTTTATAATGCACGCAGATGCACGTCAATCGTCGTCACAATCAGAAGCAGAGGGGCAGTTTATGAAAAAGTCACGAAGAATAAACATAACAACAAGCAAATATATAGAAAGATTGTGGCGCAAGAATTTCAATCGATAATTGAGACACCATTATTACAATGTCGTAATTTTATCGATTTGATAGAAAAATTTCACAATTCGATTTTGTAATTTTTTTTAACTATTGAAAGGAATATACCTGAGTAAAAATTGGAATAAATCTATATAACATTATCAAAAGATGGAGCTGTATGATGAACAAAACATTATAAAACTAATTTTTTTTGAATACAATAAAAAAAGAACGCATGCTTAAATTAAACAACAATAATGCCCATCATCGAGATATTGAAAATTCAATATTAATTGAGGTGGAATTCGAGGAAGTCCAAGGGAGTCTACAGTGAGCATTACTCAAAACACTGTCATACATAATTCCATTGATAGAAGTTACAATGATTGCCACATAAAATAGCAATTCAAGAGCTCCAAACAATGCACATAGTAAGCTTTATTCGTGTCTTATACCTTGACTGAGAAAAATTTTCGAATTCAAACCCGATCGAAACGTATGTTAATACTCTTCCTGAAAAGCCGCTTCGAATATACGAGATAGTTCTTCTGGTTTGTTGTATTCGGTAACTAATGCACCTTAAACATTTCTCAGACAGCTAGAACCCATCGAGTCCAAAATTTGTCGACCTGATAGCAATTCAACCGACTCTATCCTGCATATCTCTAGTGAATTCTTAGAATTTTGAAGCATTCAAGGCATTGTACAATGAGGCAACTTGAAAAACTGTCACATACAACTTCACTGAATGGGTTAAAAAGACTGCTACATACAATGGCGATTTGGGTGCATCAAGAAATAAATCCCATTTGATCTTTTTTGAATTTTCAATATCTGGACGGTGGGTATATCTTTTAAACAAAATAAATTTTATATAAATACGTTGATCAATAGTGTCTGTCTTGTTTTGATTGATTTGAAAAATGTTGAATCGTTCATTACTGAATGAAGAAGAACCATGGAGTGAAATCTATTACTCAGCAACAACAACAAAAAACAATTAACTAACTAAACGTTCTTAACTCAGATCTTCGATTATTGGAAAATAATTTTAGCCATTAGTATAACGGCAATCTTTATTCAATAAATGGTATCGATAAATATTCTTTAGCAACAAAAATAAATTCTTCATATTTCGCACCAAGATTGTTGTTGATTTTTTTTAAAAATTCGATTGATTATATAATCATTTTCGTTTGAATTTTATTTTCTTGATATATTCTCTTTTAATGTTACTCTTATTTCAACAATCTAAATTAATTTATTATTACTAAATGTTTCTAGATGATAAATCTATTAAATATAAAAACTTAAACAATCATATTAATTTATTATCATCTACATTAAAAGGAAATATTATCAAACAAGCAGCATCTAGACTTTTACAACATGTAACATTGAATAAAAAATTTTATCATATAACACAAAATACGAATGGAAATGCATTTGATGACTATCATACATCTGCAAAACATATTCAACGAAATAAAAAAGAATTTCGACGAACAGATAAATGTAATTCATGGTTATCTAAATTTCCTACAAAAAGTGATACATCTCTCAATCGGTAAATCTAATAGAATAATTATTAATGCATATAAATATTATTTTAGATTGCCTATATTCATTAAATCACCATTATATAAACATAAATCACGTGATCATTTATTACCTGTAAATATTTATCCTCAAACTAAATATTCAAATATTTCAATAAATCAATCTCATTATATGCCGTTACAATTTCATCCAAATCCTATCATATTATCAAGTAATGCTACTTCAAATGATAATAATGATATTAATCCACAATATGAACCATTCTCTCAACCTCTTATTGTAAGTTACAAAAAAAAAAAAAAAAAAAGAAAAATGTACTTTTGATCATGAGTTTCCTTTTGTGACCCAAATTTTTTGTTTGTGGTCATTGTATAGTCTGAAGTACTATCTATCTACTGAGTATATTTTTGGGATACAAAAATTGCTGTTTAACATTATTTGACGAAAATATTGAATTGTGTTTCTCTCTAATCAACTTTTTCATTAAAATAAAAATAAGTGCAGAAATTTTCACTGGATTCGCCAGCTTAGTGTATGTCCGATCGAGATGAAATTTTATTCACATATATTATATGTTGTTTTTGGTGGGTATTTTATTATGTTGCAAAAAAAATATTGTTTTGTTCATTTTTGATAGCTCTATTCAAAAAACAAAAACATCCATTTTTTAGGGCACCTTCGATATGTTGAATTTTTTATTCGAAGAATAAAAATAAAGAAAAATACTCACCTCAAACAGTATCTCATAGAAGACAGCTTTAATACTATATTTTCGTTCTTATTCAGGTTAACACTACCGTAGCGTGCGAATAAGGTTGTTGTCAGTTTGAAGCAGCGTCTACATTCTATTGAGAAATACGATAGTGAAATGAATACTAAAAAGTCGGTGATCAAAAATGCTATCATCCGTTTAAAAGAAAATGTTTTAGATGGTACATAAAAAACGTCTTCGTCGTGATTATTTTTTATCAACAATGCAAAATTGTATGCAACCTCCATATAGTTCAAATCATTTTTATGCATTTGATCAAATAAATATGCTTAAACTACAGCGTAATCTTCATACAAATAATCATGAAAAAGATAACCATTATTATCATCGAAATTATGATTCAAATTTAAAACGAAAATATGGTGAAATTTATAATGATGATAAATCTCAATGTAATTGTTCAGATATTGAATTTGATCAAATATCTTCATCTAAAAAAAATTTATCTTCTCCTATTGAACAATCTTCACCAAAAACAGCAGATCATATTAGTATAAACAAATATCATGATGAAACAAAAAATTCATTTATATCCAATAAAAAATCTGAAAAAGATTTAACCAAAGAAAATCAAACATTCGAACAATCAAATATAATTATATTACATTTAGAAAAAATTTTAAATTTATGCGGAGAATTACGATCATTAGCTCAAGATGTAGAAAATCATCTTAATGAAAAAACTATATCATCAAATATGATTACCAATAAAAATCCAATAGATATATCTGAATCAGAACAACCAACAACAATTGATATTCAACAAACAATGAATGATATTAATGAAAAAAATCTTCTATCATCATATCAACTTATTAATGATACATTATCAATACATTCTGAAAGTAATAAATCACATCAATTAATGGTTTGTTTATTCAAAATGAAATTCTATTAAATTTAATTATTTAAATTGTTTTTGTTCTTTCAGCAAACAGAATCATTTAAAACAAAATCACCTAGTGTAACAACTTCATATACAATATTACGTAAATCTGAAGATATTTGTTCATGTTTTTTAAAATCAATTTTTGATAAACAAAATTGTGAATTAAATATTGATGAACAAGAATATTTGAATGAACTTACAAAAGCTTATTTACTTGGTAAACGACAAATACTTAAAGAACAGCAAGAGGTTAGATTTCAACAAGGGGAATTGAATAAATGAATTATGCTTAATTTAAGGAAAATGATAAATTCCAAACATTGAAGAATGAAACTCTTCCAGCAAAACAACAAGAATCTAATGATCTATCGCCTTTAGTACTTGATATTACTACTACTAATAATAATCAATCAAATATGCCTGCTAGTCCATCATCTATTTTATTCTATAATAATTTTCAAAAGTTAGATAATCATTTATCATCTATACCAAATAATTCAACAATTTCATTAGATGAAAATGATCAACAACAGGAACAATTCTCTAATCCATCTGGAATGATTAGTCTTAAACATGAAACATTTATCAATGAACCAATTGCAATGAAAACAACAAATGTTTTACCTGGTATTGGAATTAAATATGCTCAACAATTAAATGAATGTGGTTTTACAACAGTACGACGTTTACTTGGTTTTTATTTGATGATTAAAGATGATCAACATTTTGTTATTTGGCTTAATAATAAAGCAGGAATATCAATACATTCAGCTTGGTTATGTACAAATGCACTTCGAGCTTGGTGTGAAATACATCTTTAAATTTCATATATTTTCATTAGTCTCTATTTTCTTTTGTTTTTAATTCAAGAAACATGATTTATAAAATATCCTTCGAAATAGATTCATTACTTTTAGCGATAGAAAATTTGAAAACATACAAACTTTGAAATTTTAATCTATGTTAGATAGTATCGAAGAGAAAGTAGAAGACTCAAGAAATTTACCCAACTAATGTCGAAATATATGTTTTTATGATAGTTTTAATTTGTGAAATTACTACCGTGAAAACACTAATCATAAACCATGAATAACTAAAACGAAGATGATACTATCAACTGATTGATAAGATATAAAGACATTGTGAATAAATACATTCTCTCCTCATCTTCACCTATCCCATATCCACGAAAAATAAAAAGTAGAAATGAAGCATTCACGACTCAAATTAATTTTTTCATTAAAGTTCTTTCTTTTTTTCTTAAGAATGCAGATTGTAGAAATGAAATAAATATATTGACTCGTTTATATCATCAACTAAACAATAATTTGGGTCGTTTTGACATTTGAATAAGTCAGCATTTTTTTTTCTTTTGGCATCTTCTTTACCTTCCAAAGACTTCACAAAGCTACTAGACTTCAAGATTGACATGTCTGCTGTGTCTTCGTTGTATAGTATCATTCATTCATTGATTAGAAATATGTTATTCTACATTA